AAAAAAAAAAGCTGTCATTTCTGATAGATATATAAGCTCCTCTTTTTTTAGGCCCAATTTCCTTTTTTTCCCTTTTACTTCAATTCATACAAACATGTCTGGTGGAAAATCTGGTGGAAAGTCTGCTGCTGGCTCCAAGTCTCAAACTCGTTCTTCTAAGGCCGGTCTTCAATTCCCTGTCGGTCGTATTCACCGTCTCCTTCGTCGTGGTAACTACGCTCAACGTGTCGGTGCTGGTGCCCCCGTTTACCTCGCTGCCGTTCTTGAATACCTTGCTGCTGAAATTCTCGAATTAGCTGGTAACGCTGCTCGTGATAACAAGAAGTCTCGTATCATCCCCCGTCACCTCCAATTGGCCATCCGTAACGATGAAGAATTGAACAAGCTTCTCGGTCATGTCACCATTGCCCAAGGTGGTGTCCTCCCCAACATTCACGCTTCCTTGTTGCCTACCAAGTCCAAGAAGGCTGGTGCTTCTCAAGAGCTCTAAAGAGTTTATCGTACATTCAAATAGCATTTATTCTATAAAATTTGATATCCCCCAAAAATCTATTTTTCCTTATTTATGTATAAATTTTACAGCTACAAAAAAGAAGGACCTTCAACCCTATCTTTTCTTTATTTTTGGGCTTTATTGTAAATAAATTCTCATTTTAAAAGCGAATTTTTTTTTGTATCTTTTCTTTGTAGACTGTAAGCTTTGCTGATTATGAAAATAGCCAATCAAATGGTGTAAACATGCTGTCTGATATGCCAGAGATCTTTAGGTACAAAAATAGTAAGTTGGTGCCCGATCGTACTAATTCGTATTACGTTGCGAGATTTCCAAATTTGTATAAATCTTCACTCAGTCATGTGGTTTGCCTGTCATTTTTTAGTAATCATTTTTCTTGAAAAAAAATGAATAAAAAACGAAAAGCAAACATTTAGATATATTAGTGTTGCTTGGCAATGTATAATTATTTTGGTTACCATGACGATTTTATACCTTGTCAAACAAAAATACATGTAGTTGGTGCATGTATGCACTTGCTTAAAAAAGGATTCATACAAATAAAGCAGCACATTCTATTTTGTGGTATTTTTAAAAAAAGTTCATTTTATTTATGAAATAATGAAAATAAAAACTGTACAAATGAAAAAACTTTCTTTTCATATTAAAAATATTTATTGTCGTGTTGTTGCTGTTGCTGCTGAGATGTATTTAGAGTCGTTGTTTGAAGGGTATTTAAGAGCGTTCACCACGGAGACGACGAGCTAATTGAATATCCTTGGGTTGAATGGTAACACGCTTGGCGTGGATAGCAGCCAAGTTAGTATCTTCAAAGAGAGAGACCAAGTAAGCTTCAGAGGCTTCTTGGAGGGCACCAATAGCAGAAGATTGGAAACGCAAGTCAGTCTTGAAGTCTTGAGCAATTTCACGAACGAGACGTTGGAAAGGAAGCTTACGGATCAAGAGCTCAGTGGACTTTTGATAACGACGGATTTCACGAAGAGCGACAGTACCGGGTCTGTAACGATGAGGCTTCTTGACACCACCAGTAGAGGGAGCAGACTTACGGGCAGCCTTGGTAGCCAATTGCTTACGAGGGGCCTTACCACCAGTGGATTTACGAGCAGTTTGCTTAGTACGAGCCATATTTAATCAAGAGTAAAAAGATGAAAAAAAGTAAAAAGAAAGGAAAGTCCTTGTCCTTTTATATCATCTTTGACGGACATTCAATCTTGCTTTTTTTTTAACTTGAAAAATATCCTATTTTTTTTTTTCAGTTCGCGCGTTTAACAAAAAAAAAAGACAGGATATTTTTAAATTTGAGAAATGGATTCTTTCAAGCTACAATAAAATAGTCTTTTCCTTAACAAAACAAATAGAATAAAGACTTATATAATAAATTCCACTGATATCCACGACGCACTTTTTTTTGGTTTAATTTGGACTTTATTTTGCATTGGCTTATATATAAAAGCTATACTTTTTTGTAATTTTTTTTATTTTTAAAAAATTCATTCGCGCCTCTTTTTTTTTTTTTTACGTGAATCAAAAAAAGTTTTTGTTTTCAAATCCAAAAAAAAATAACGGTGTCCCAATTTATGGTAAATCCCGTGTGACTTGACTTCGAACCTATAAAAGGGGGAGCTTTTTATTTTTCTTTTTTTTTTTCACTTATTTAAATTTAATAACAATGACTGGTCGTGGAAAAGGTGGTAAAGGTCTCGGAAAGGGTGGTGCCAAGCGTCATCGTAAGATTCTTCGTGATAACATTCAAGGTATTACCAAGCCTGCTATTCGTCGTCTTGCCCGTCGTGGTGGTGTCAAGCGTATCTCTGGTCTCATCTATGAAGAAACTCGTAATGTCTTGAAGTCCTTCCTCGAAAACGTTATTCGTGATGCTGTTACTTACACTGAACATGCCAAGAGAAAGACTGTTACCTCTTTGGATGTTGTCTATGCTCTCAAGAGACAAGGCCGCACCCTCTATGGTTTCGGTGGATAAGCACTCTCATCTAATATTTGCATCTTGAACCAAAAAATATATTGATTCCCATAATTAAAACTTGCAAAAACAAGTTTAGCATTTTGTATATAGCTTTTTTTGCTTCAAGCTTTTTTCTAATTTTATATTGCAAAACAAATTCGCACAATAAAATATCAATAACAATTACACATTAGTTGGTTATCAATCTTTTCTTTATTTTTAAAAAGGCAATGAACTTGATATTTTTAAGAGATAAATGTGGTCAACATGCATGAATAACATAACTGAAAAAGTTAGAGACTTTGTTTAAATAGCCTGATCTTGACTTTTTCTTTGGGCCAAAAAATAAGACCAGCTATTTCCCAACTAGCCCTAAGGTGTGTTATATTATTTATTCTAGTTTGGTTCTTACCAAACCTTGGTCCCATCCACTCCTTCAGCCCCTTCCACTCCTTTGGCCATTCTCTCTTGCTCTCTCTTGCCTTTTCTCTCTCTCTTTCTTTCTTTTCCGGGCCAGTTATCGCTGGCTCTACCCATGATGCACTTTGGATAAGATATTCATAATCTCTTTTACAAGTTTACTCACTTTTCCTGCTTCTTTTTCTCATAAATCCCCTTCTTTATAATGTAAGTATTTAATATCAAATTAATAACTGATTTACTAATCCTTTCTTTTTATATCTCATTCTTTTGCTTCTTGTGGGCTCTCTTTTATCTTGTCTGAAATTATCATTTTTTTATCAGCCTGCGAATAATTTGTGAATAAAGTATATTGCAAAACCAAATAAATCCCTTGTGAAAAAAAATTGTTTTATGCATTCTGTGTGAATTGGGTTAGAAGTGTGTGGGATGATAGCCTTTACCATATAAAGAAATTGTACACCGTAACTATTACAGCGAAAAACAGATCTCTATCTAGGGATTTATGAATGAATACAGTAGTTAACACATAAGTATATTTAACACACTAGAAAAGAGTACATGAGTATACATTAGAACAATAGTCTCTGATAAGTACATGAGTGAATGAGCTCATGAGCACATTAGTCTCTGATTATTACATTAGTAACATTACAGGAACATGTCTGTCCTGTTTACTGATGTATATATAGGTTTTATATTCCAAAACATTAATCAGAGATTAGTACGTTAGTCACATTACAGAACATGTTTATCGCATTCAACACAGCCACACATTTTAAGTAAAGCACGTACACAAAGAAAACAGTTGTTTGTACAAATAAGGCTCTTTATTTATAGAAAAAAGCATCCATGGTATTTAAAAACTTGAAGGAATACAAATCGTAATGAAAAAATGAATACATTATGTAAAAAGTTTTGATTAGCGAGTCAGAATGTGATTGCTAGTATTGTTGTTGTTGTTGTTGTTGTTGATAGTTTAGAGTTCTTGAGAAGCACCAGCCTTCTTGGACTTGGTAGGCAACAAGGAAGCGTGAATGTTGGGGAGGACACCACCTTGGGCAATGGTGACATGACCGAGAAGCTTGTTCAATTCTTCATCGTTACGGATGGCCAATTGGAGGTGACGGGGGATGATACGAGACTTCTTGTTATCACGAGCAGCGTTACCAGCTAATTCGAGAATTTCAGCAGCAAGGTATTCAAGAACGGCAGCGAGGTAAACGGGGGCACCAGCACCGACACGTTGAGCGTAGTTACCACGACGAAGGAGACGGTGAATACGACCGACAGGGAATTGAAGACCGGCCTTAGAAGAACGAGTTTGAGACTTGGAGCCAGCAGCAGACTTTCCACCAGATTTTCCACCAGACATTTTAAAGTTGTAAGTTAACAAGTATTGAAAAAAGGCAGAAAAAAAGATCAAGACCGCCCTTTATATATGCAAAATTGGGACCCCTCCTTTTTTCAAATTCCGCGTTTTTTTTTTTCACTTGAATTTTAAAAAGATGACAAACACCATCCTTATAAAAAACGACAGGGCAAAAAAAAGATTTTTTGTTCAATTTTTTTTTCCTTTACAGATGACTTCTTTGACCTCAAATTCCTTTGAAAAACGCGTTTGTTTCGCGAAACAAGTATAAGTCTTTATTGTTTTCAAAGGCAATCTGAGGATGGCCCTGTCATAGACCTAAAAATTTCCTTTTCGGAAAACCGAGTCACGATTCTGTTTTTCTATATAAAACCAGTTGAATTTTGAGAACCTTTTTTCCAATTTTTCATAATTATTATTAAACATGGCTGCTGAAACCGCTACTAAGGAAACCAAGAAGAATGTCCCCAAGGACAACAAGAAGAAGAGACTTTCTCGTCGTGAAACTTATTCCTCTTACATCTACAAGGTCTTGAAGCAAGTCCACCCCGATACTGGTATCTCCAACAAGGCCATGTCCATCTTGAACTCCTTCGTCAACGATATCTTTGAACGTATTGCTACTGAAGCCTCCAAGTTGGCTGCCTACAACAAGCGTTCCACCATCTCTTCTCGTGAAATTCAAACCGCTGTTCGTCTCATCCTTCCTGGTGAACTCGCCAAGCACGCCGTCTCTGAAGGTACCAAGGCTGTCACCAAGTACACCAGTTCCAAATAAGCTACTTCATTGTTTTACCCCATCAGCAAACTTCTTTTTTTATCTCAATCTCCCATATGACCAGTAGATCCCCTCACGTATTCCTATTACAATCTGCATTCTTTCAATAAAAAGGAATCCTTCATTTGCTAATACACATATTGTCTTTTTCTCTTAACACTTTCAGTCATTAATACAAAATTCATGCTAAATTTACAATGATTCGACAAGCAAGCGCATTTTTGATCAGTAATTTATTTTGCACACAAGCACAAAAAAGAGGGGGAAAAATTAACAGATTTAGGCAATGAGTTCAACAACACCACCGGCTTCCTTGATCTTCTTTTCGGCGAGTGCAGAGACGTAACGAGTACGAACAATGACGGGTTGGCTGATGGTACCCTTAGCCAAAACCTTAGCATAACCCTATTGACACACATGTAATCAGTAATTACATTTCTTGTTATAAAGTAAAATCTTACATGTTGAAGAGTATCAATGACAGGAACCTTTTCGGTGTTCTTGTACTTTTCACGAACACCTTCACCAGCAAGAGTCCAGATTTTGTCAAGGTTGATGACAGGACGCCAGAGAGGGTTCTTCTTCAAGTGGAAGTGACGCATACCGACCTTACCAAAGTAACCAGGATGGTACTTATCCATGTTGGTACGGTGATGGTGTTGACCACCAGCAAGACCACGACCACCAGGATGCTTTCTGTGCTTACCTATAAAATGAAAGACATTACTCATGTGGATCATGTAATGTGTAATTCTTTCTTACCAACACGACCGTGACCGGCGGAAACGTGTCCACGCTTCTTTCTGTTGTGGTGAAGTCTAGTAGGCTATATGATATCAAACAGTGAGTGAGGGTTGTTCTATGGCTGGATGGATTGATAGATGTTTACCATGGCTGAAAATGCTTTACTGAATAGAGAGGGGGAAAAACGATTTCTAGTTTAGCTTCTCTTCTATAATGTGGATGGAGCGGCTACAGTCATCAGCAGTGGACTAGCCGCTCACCTAACTCCGAGTATCATTTCCACTAAAAATCATGGTCCGGCCCGAACTAGAATTTAATTAACTTTATTTCACAATGAGAAACACTTTATAAGCTTTAAGTAGTGGCTAATCTTTCCTATTGTGTCGATTTCTTTTAGGCGGTTAACCATTGTCAAAATAACTGGGTACGTACTTTATCTTCTTCTCCCTATAGTTATAGACGTAGATAGCCAAGCTGAAACACTGTGTGAAAGGCTACTTTGCAACAAGAGTTGCTTAATCAACTCATGAGGGTTTTATACGTACTTGTCTTGATTGTCGATTCGTAAATGAATTACTTGTAGTTACAAGATACAAATAAGGCAGGGTTTGTAGGAATTTCTCATTGCAAATACCTTTCTTTGTTAAATCAAAAAATAAACATCCTTTTTAAAGACAATATCAAGAACATCAAGTTTTAAAATGATTTTATTTTTTAAAGCAACTGCAAAACAGATTATAACTTGGAGCCTTGAAGAGCTCCACCGTCAACGGTGATAACAGCTCCAGCAGTGTATTGACCAGCACGTGAGGCAAGATAGATACAAGTACCAGCAATGTCTTCAGGACTACCAACACGACCAACAGGAACACCGGCAACGATGGCATCACCAAAGTTTTTAAGGGTAGCAGCCATCATCTTGGAGGGGAAAGAGCCAGGAGCAATTGCATTGACAAGAATGTGTTCTCTACCCAACCTGCCAGCCAAGTGACGAGATAAGTGATGAACAGCAGCTTTTGAGGATGAGTAAGCATAGGTTTCCATTCCAGGAGCCTGTGTATTTGATGTATGATTAGTCACCGTTAAAGAGAGAGAAAAGAGGTCAACTTACGGAAATGCCATTGATTGAGCCAATGTTGATCACGCGAGAAGGATTCTCTGCAGAAGCCTTGGCTCTCAAAAGAGGAAGACAGCTATGAATGAAAATAGTTGGTAACTTAATCTTTTTTTCTTATCTCGACTTACGCCTGTGTTAATGTGAATATACGAGTGACATTAAGATTCATTACTTTTTGGAAAGCAGCATCAGGATATTCATCAAGAGGAGCTCCCCAAGTAGCACCAGCGTTGTTGACAAGCACATCCAAATCTTGTATAGTGTCAGTTATATTCCTCCTATAATATTAATGTACTTACGATCCTCGCGTTTACTAAGCTCCTCGACTAGTCTTTTGATATCCTCAATGCTTTGTAAATCGGCTGGCAATGCGATACATTTTCCAGGTCCTAAAGCGTTCAATTTGGCAGCAACCTTGTATAATTTTAATTTTTCTTTTCTTTTTTATAAAATAAACTGATTACCTCATCACAAGCCTTTGCTGAACGACTACTGATATACACCTTGGCACCACCTTGGACGAAACCCTAATGTGTTGATTAGCTTTTTATACTGTTATAGATCATATGTCATCTACAGTTGCAATCATTTCACCGATACCACGAGAACCGCCGGTAACGAGAACAACCTTATCCTTAACACTGAAAAGAGCTTGAATATCCATGATATAGTAAAATAGTTGGTTTTGATAAAACAAGAGTTGTTAAAAGGGCGTTGAAAAAGGGAATTGTTTATATTTGAATTCAGCTTAGTAACGAGATATACAACTTTGTATAAAATGCAGAAAGCTAAAAAAGTTCAAAATTACATAATGAATATATTGTGGGAAACGTTGAAAGGAATAAATCTTTCCCCCAAAGATAATCAAAGCGAATCATAGCCAAGTTGGTTTTTATATGTATTATTTAATTTTACACTATTAGTATGCTTTGTAGTAGTGTTTTCCCTATTTGTGCTGTTTTATGCTCGTCAGTTAGTGGACACGGCTGGTTGTTAAAGAAGAGAGTGACAGGAGCTATAGTAAGATTGAGCGTTCCTGAATTGTAATGTAATAATACAGAGATCAATAAGCTTAAATATACACAAATGGGTCTCTCTTTTCAAGTATATTAATATTTCACACTGTTTAATCAAAAGGCTAATTTCAAGCATAAGCATTACCGTTTTTCAACAAATGACAACTACATTGATTTCACTAGGATTAGAAACAAAGACAAAGTAGATTAAAGAATGAAATGTAATATGCATGTCTTATCATAATTATGATCACATTGTCAAAAAAGCTTTTACATTGTCTTTTTATAAAAGTAGGAGTCGCTATGTCTAAATGATACGGTTGTGGTATTTTTGAGGCTCTCTAAGATTGAGCATTACTCCTGCAATTCATTTATCTGTACGTATATGTAGAATACAGGGTGCCTTTATCATAAATCCACATCTTCGTCTCATTTTGGCTTTAAAAACTATAATAGCTCCACTTAAAATCAAATCAGAGCAAACTCAGATTGCCTTATGCTTACATATATCGCACATAATAACTGCGATAATATCCTCATAGGCTTTTATGAGGACAGAAGGGAAAGAGAAGCTAACCCTCCAGAGAAAAGGGGGGAAGTAATGGGTAAAAAAAACACGCTTTTATAGCTTTTTAAAATTAGGCGAGGTATGAAATTGGGTTTTAAAATAAAGAACAAAACAGTTATGGTAAAAAGAGAAATGATTGGACAATGTGTGAGCTTTGAATGCGTGAAATTGCTTTTGTAAGAAAGTGTAATAAACGTAACAATAAACATTGCTTCTAGCTTTAGGTTGTTTGGGTGTTCATCGTGTAATATGTAATGATAAAAATTGAGTAATCTGTATGCATTGTCTATGACGCATGACAGAAAAAAAAAGCATGATGGCAGCTTACTTATGGACTCTGCCCTTCCCTGAAAAAAACTCTGGCTACTGATAGTATCTATTACACTAGCCAGGAGTAGTAAGCAGTCTTCTTTGACATTAGGTGGGTATATATTTATGTTGATTCAAGAGGCTGACACAATCTCTATTGTTTCTCCTCTAAAAGTCCACGATTATACACTCTTTCTGGAAAGTAATTTTTTTTTATATATTTTATTATATTAATATATCACAATATGACTTGCATCACATATTCCCATGGCCTATCCATATTCCATTTACAATCTTTAAAAAGTCACAATAATATCTCATCCAATTTTCCTATGTAGCATTTATCGTTCCTTGAAATGCCATCAGGAAGACTATCTAGTAGTGAAACGTTGTCAGTAGCATCAACTTCTCGTGACAACACCATGTCAACCTCTCTTAATACTGAAAATAAATGTCTCATATCCTTGACATCCTTTAACCATATCACCTTTTGAATATCTTCAATGCCAAAATACAGGTTTATACCAGAGACATTTGGGTACATAACACTAATTTTGTGTGCTAGAGACTGTAACATAACAATATACAATTTATTCAGATCCATACTCCCCCTATAGTAGAAAGAAAAGCGTCCAGAAAGTAATTTTTTTTTTGTAAAATGGTATATTTTATTCAAGTACCGCCAGTTAGCTTGTACTTATTAAAGAAAATAATAAAGAACATAGAAGCACGGAACAAAATAAAGGCTGCGTTAACCTGAGTGAGATGATTTTAGACGCTCTCTATAGATATTTTCATCATGTATTCGCTTGATTGCTTGCGTTGCTCGTGCAGCAGCTTCATCGGGCCAGAAGGTACGACCATCAAATACAAAACGCCAATGACGCCGCCAGATAGCCCAGATCGTACAAGCAATGACTGTTTGAACATCAAAACGTAGCCCTGAAGCACTTGAATACGTTTAGACGAGTCTAAGGTCAGAGATTCATAGGCAAGTCTCGCAGTAGGCTGTAAAAAGCGATTTGCAATGCATGGCCAGGTTTCTTTTTTGAGCATGCAAGGCCACAAGAAGTGCCCATCGTCTTCGACGCCTCCACATAGAAGACAGTAAGGATCCAAGTGTCGATTCGGATAAAGCTGGTGTAGACGCTGGCATGTTGGCAACTTACGACGGTAATGCCTCCAGAGCACGGTGTGCGCCTGGTGTGGGAAGGAAGATAACCAGAAGGCGCGCCATGCCGTAGTAGGGCCACGCGGATAGTGTGCCGGTAGGGCATCAATGGGGAGTAACTATGAGATCCGGAATAGCTTGAGTGATATATGATGGAAGTCCAAGGCTCCTGGTAGCTCTACCGTCAGTAGATCTTCAAAGTTAGGTTGAGGCATTCGATATAACGTATACTGGAATTGGCTGTCTGGTCTGAGGTTGTGCGGTGTGAACAAGGTTGCAATGGAGGAGTGCACTAGGCTCTGGCCATCTGCTAACCAGGAATGGAATCGGCTTACTCGATGTTTAAACCTTGTGTTTGACAAGTAAGGTCTTTGCCTCAAACAGTTGTGAATTGGGCTATATTCGAAGATATCCTTCATCCGCAGTTGGCCCCAGTTTGTTCGGCGACCACGACCGTTCCAAGTCGGTAAATCGAGGTATATCCGCGAAACCGGAATCTCTAAGACCACCGATATATTCAATGCCTCCAAATTAACAGAGAAATCCAGCATGTCTACTACTTGAAATAGGAGCTTGCAGCAACCCATTGCTTTTACATCCGGCGAACGTAGTTCTGCGAAGGCCAAAAGCAGAATAGGACTAGGGCAACCAGAGAAACGGCATAAGAATGGTTGTAGTTTGATTCCGTGTCAGGCTGTACGGGTGGTCGGAGCCAATGTAACTGAAGTGCATGAAGTTGAGTAGCTGGATCTAGAACCGCTAAACCGCCCTCCTTTCGCGGGCGTCGACAATTGTCAAAGCTGACCTTCGGGAAGGATCTGAAATTGATGAATTGGTCAACTACTGCACGGATCTTGGCGAGAAAGTAAGCAGGTACAGTGAGGATACGTAGACAGTGCCATATTCTGCTAAGTATCAACGTATTGGCTATCAAACCGCGTCCGGAAAGTAAATTCGCCTGCGATCGAAAATAAATGCACCCAAGGTGAGAACAAAATTCATGTTGTACGAAATGTAAATTCGTCGTTGCCAAGAATGTTTTCGTAGTGTCAGCCTTGACTTCCACGGATATACTGTATTTCCAAAAAACAAGCCTCATGATCCTTGCTCTGACTCGCTTGTCCCGCCCTCTTTGCTCTCTGGCGTGTATCTGAAACGTTCTCCAATAGTCTCTTCTGACGCCCTGGGTTCTCTGTGTCCTCCGTTCTTTTTTTTTTTTTGTTTATACAATCCTGGGTAGCTATCGCTACCCTCCCCAGAATGCACCTTGGTGGTAAGTAAAACTAATATTAGGATATATACTCTAATGCTAACATACTTTTTTTCTACATATACTCACTATCTCTCTCTTTTGACATGACGTTGTTTTATTCAAGCGTATTTTTCTTTGTCGTCTTTTTACGTAAATAATTTTTTTATTTTACGACAATATTTTATAAAAATACAGTACATTTCATACATTAAAACACGTCAACTTCTTTACAAATGACAGAAGAATTTACAGGCCAAGCTCTGAATACAAAATTATTTCTATAAATCTCTTTGTGATTAAAAATCTGTGCACAATTTTAATTCTTTCTTTTTTCTTTTTCACTTTATCTTACAGCATGTTTGACACGGAAAGAATAAGTCTATTTGCAGTCTATATCCTTCTATTACCACTGATAGTCAAAGGCACTACCAGTGGCATAAGAGATGTTTTACTCTATTTGCATGCAATAGGTCTGACTTGCATGGTCTATCATTTACTACAACAAATACTTTCCGGAAGTAAACCGTTCAAGGCAACAGACAAAGAGGAAATGTATGGTTTACGCCATATTCTACTCAACATTCAACTGCCACCTTCAACACTCTGGTTTAATATGGGACTATGGACAGACAATGTCTCATCATTTTCCGATGCCTGTAGCAAACTAGTGCTTGAAACTGCCAAATACACCCGTATTCGAAATGGAAATAGTGTACTCGGTAAGTAGTTGATGTTGTATGGCCATTACTCTGTTGTTGAATCATTGTGATAAATATCATAGATGTGGGATTTGGATGTGGTGATTCATGCTTACTCTTAGCAGGTATGTAACAATCAACGTCATGATCACCACTTTTTAATACACTTGTGTATGATAGATCAGTTTAACTGCAAAGTTACAGTAAGCCATGTAGAGAGGATATGATTGCATCAGGGATCTAACTTATATTCTAGGGAATCACAAATGAATTGACTCAGGTGCAAATGGCTAATGAGAGATTAACCGATGATCAAAAGCAAAAAATAACTTTATTACACGGGTCTGCAGATGATCTGGATAGATTATTCCCAAAATACAAGTTTGATCATATTCTAAGCATTGATTCAGCTTATCATTATGGCACTCGTTGGGATTTCTTCAAGAATGCTTACAGCCTTTTAAATGATAAAGGAACACTTGGCCTCTTCGATTTTGCATTAGATCCAATCTTTTCACAAGAACTGAAAAAGTCATCTTGGAAGCTATTCTTGTTTAAAATGATATGTACTATAAGCAAAGTACCAGCAGAGAATCTCATGTCGACACCTACTGAATATAAGCATAAACTTCATCAAGCTGGATTTAATCACGTTTGTCTAGAAACAGTGAAACAGGAGAAAGTATTTGGTGGTATATCTCATTTTATGACTCATCAATTACAAAATACAGCCAAGTATGGTGTGAACATTGGAATAACTGACAAACTATTCTTGAGAGCATCTTGCTTTGTCTTTCATTTGCTGGCAACAAACAAGTGGATCGTCCCTTTGATGGTCAGCGCAGAAAAGCAAGCATAATTTTTCAAGTAGCGCTTGTTCTGCTGAACAATGACTCGAAATTTCCATATATTTTTCTTTCTTTTTATTATTAAACATATAAAATATACAACAACAAATGGCTACCTTTAAATATTGTCTAGATTGGTATGCTACCATGACGCATACGAATAACATTTTATGCTTAATTTAAGCTGATTTGCATAGTAACAACTTATTATACCCCAAAGAAGATAAAAACAATAGAAAATTGCTATTTGCATGTCGTAATTGTGAATATGAGGAAGATGCAGAGAATTACTGTGTTTATCGACATGAAATTGTTCACGCACCTTCGTAATGTTGTTGTACGAATTGACATAGATTTTATATTAATCTCTTTCAAAGGGAGCAAACCATGGTGTTGCACGATTTGGGAACAGATCCTACTCTTGTAAGATTGGATCATTTTTAATGCTATACACAAGCTAATCTTTTTTTTTTTTTGTATTTCCAGCCACGAGCCAATATCAACTGTCCTCGCTGTGGACACCCAGAAGCTGTGTTTTTCCAATCTTCGTCTAGACGAGCAGAAGCAAAGATGACATTATTTTATGTTTGTGCAAACAAAGGCTGTGGACATCGTTGGACTGGATAAACAAAGTATATATTTCAAAAAAAAAAAAAAAAAATGGTAATAACAATAAACTTATATTGTTGTTTGTCCTTTGATAATTTGTTCTACATTTAAAAGATTATCAATGTCATCAAGTTCTTGACTAATGAATAAAAGATCAGGCTGTCTACAAAAAAGAATGAGATTATACATGTTTATGTCTTTTTATATTATTTACTTGTCTGATAGTAGCTTTAATGCCTTTTCTGTTCTTTCTAAATGATTTCTTGTAGTCTTTGCTAGTATATCAACAGATGTAAATGATTTTGTTGTTGTCTCTAATTCATCATAGCAAGTTGACATTCGAATGGTTTGTCGTAAAACATGACTCCATTCCTCAAATGCCTTTGCAGTTTTAAAATGACAATCTTGCTTTGTTGAAAAGTACAACTCTTTATTGTTATTGTTTTGCATATTTAAAGAAAGAAACAAAAGAAAGAGATAGGGAAGGGGGTAACTTTATTTACAGAAAGAAAGAAAAAAAAAGGACAATGCTATTACCAAGTACTTCGGCCTTGGTAGAATTCCCTGCTTCTCGTGATAGGTGGTCCTTCATATTCAATACTTTCAGGATCATCCGTCATTGCATTCCCAAAGGAAAATTGACCAAAACGCCTTTGAAAGATGATGACCTGCCTTGTTAAGGTATCCATGATCTCTGTCGATGTCTGTTCCTTGGGTTTGTTTATCTTTTCTAAAGCTTCTTCAGCCACAGATTTTTCTGTGTCTATAAATCGATCCTCTTCTTCTTCTTCTAAAGGTATCGTACTTGCACTACTTAGAGAAGAAGAAGGTGACGATGTATGATCTGCTTTGGGAGGTATAAGAATAGGCGTTGGTTTTCTGTTATTCTCTCGTATGCTTGTTACTGCGACTGCATTAAATTTCTCTTCTTGTTCCAGCTGAACCATTGCTTTTGTCATTGTTTCACTTATTTGAGCATCAATTAATTTCCGTCTTTTGCATATCTCGTCTTCTTCGTCCTCTTCTTCTTCATGTTCTTCTTGCAGCAGCTTCTTTTCTTTTCTTTTTTTACTTGTTGCCATTTCTACTTGTAGTGAACAGATATATTCCAGTATCTGATTCGCCCTTTTATTCATTTCCGAGATGGTCATACGAGCTGAAGGTATGCGGACCTTGGCTGGAGGCGACGTTTCTCGAGCAGAGGGTGATAAATGTTCAAACAGGATGCTGCTCGTACTTGTCGGTGTTGTCTGTGCTTCTGGTTGTGGGGTTGATGTTCGTGACCTTGGTGCCTTGTTGGATCGACGAAAGGAATGGCTGTTCCACTTTCGGCCATTTGTACTTCCGGACGGACGAGATTTTTTTTCACTCTTTGTGCTTTTTCTTTTAGGTCGATTGGATTTACCTTCAATTGCTAATGTATAATATATATATATATTAGGACATATGTTGCTATAGTAACAAGTGCTTACTTTCGTCTGTAGGTGAATCCGAGATGGTTATCTCTGTGTTACTTGACTCCATAGCACCTTTATTATTGCTACAGCTACTACTACTACTACTACTACTACTACTGCTGCTGCTGCTGCTGCTGCTGATACTACCACTACCATTCGTCCTACCATCATCCATTGAAGTCGAGGTATTATTATTGTTATCCCTACTATTTGTATTTCTTTTTTTAACCGTCTTTGAAGGCTTATAATATCTACGTGTTTTACTATCAAAAAATTAAAAAATGTGAAAAGATATCCTTCACTTTTAAACGGCAATACTTTACTTGTCATAACCTTTTATCTGAATATGATCCTCAGGCCGACACTGTTCACAAAAGTACTGGTCAGGGATGTCTTCTTCTTCTAATCCCATACATTCACAATGCTGCCAGACTTCACAATCATCACAGCACACCATTAGACCGATGCTATCTGTTTGACATATCAGTATTCAGTTATTGTTTTAACAAAACGACTTACGCTGTTTGCCACAGACACAACGAGTGACAGACTCATCTTCAGCACTTTCTTCCTCTTCCTCTTCTTCCTCTTCTTCCGAGACAATGACAGGTTCCGGTGCCTTTTGTTGTTGTTGCTTTCTTCTTGTACTGTTACTTGCAGCTCTTGTCCTCGAAGAAAAGGTCGCTAACATGAAGATATAAGGGAAAAGAAAAAAGATATACAAGCAAAAAGGTAAGCTTACTCATTCTTGTCACAAACAGAACAGGGAAAAAGAAAAAAAGGTAATAAAGTCTGCAATTTAAAAATAGGTGCGCTTTTTCTCTCTTTCTTTTAACAAAAAAAAAAAAAAAAAAAAAAAAAAAAAAAACTATTAACCGATGGCTTGAAAGGATGATTTGCTCAAGTATATATGATACCTTTGTTTTTTAAAAAGCAAAGCATGACAATTAAAGCTCTCTTATCGCCCTGGTAAGTATAAAACGATAATACGTTATTTTTTATTCAGTAGTGTTCTAGTTGAAGAATAATTACATATATTTGATGTGTTATATTTATAATGACAGGATGCGAATATGTATATAAATAGATGAATGTTATTGTGGTAATCGATCTCTATAATTATTTTCCTTCATCCATTCTTGAACAAGTACCACCGATCTTTTTCTGATCAATCTGCTAGAAAACGATGTGATAAGGGCCATTGCGACAGATACGGTGATGATTATAATGTTGCCATAGAGCACAATATGATCGACATCTAAGGTACTCTTAATCATAATCACCTTGGCAGCAAATTCACCCATAAGTATCACGGCCCAGGCAAAGGTTAAAGCGTAACAATATGTTCGAAACATTTTGACATGTTCCCAGACAAAGGTCAACCTCGGAGAAGACTGCTCTTGTCCACTCTGATCAACCCAAGTAATTGGAGGCGCATTGGCAAACATCTGTTGAGAGATCAAGTATACCATAGGCTTAATGTCAAACCATTTTGTTTGCAAAGGAATAAGTGTAACAAAGAACATGACACTGATTAAGGCTGTTGTGCTCGAATCTCGGAGTAGTGTCAAACGTACATCGCCTAGAAGACTGTCAGTTAAAATTATTCAATTCAATTCAATCTCCGAATTACCTGTAATCAATGACAAGACAGCAGATACGATAAATGATACAACAAATATACATCCAAGAATTTCCAAACGTCTGTGTCTGACGAAAGAGTAGATGACATGTAATAGAGGAGGTATACCAGATATGATCAGGGCAATCAAGGGGCCTATTGCGTCTTTGGTACCATAATAGATAGCGAGAGGTATTCCAACATCGATCACTAGCATGACAATCATTGGCTTTGCATAGAAAAAGAATGTCTTGAGCTTCTCTTTCCAAGTCATTGGCTGATCTTGGTCTACTTTAGGTTCTTGATCCATGTGAATCGTAGTGGATGATGACTCGATGTCTTTAGGGTTATTGAGTGGCTCAGAAGAAGCTTTGGTGCTCTTGTCTGATTCAGAGATACTTTGGTAGTTATTGCTTTGCGTTTCTTGCATGTTGAATGAACAAAACAAGAGAGAAAGGTGGCTATCTCTCCCTTTATATATGAATTGATCTGACGTGCGGAGCCCTCGGTGAATATTTACCTTTTTTGGACAATATTGCCCGTGTAACACATTTATATTGCTAAGCAGGGAATATATGCAGTCTTGATCTATTTTTTTTGCTAAGCAGATAGAAAGAGACTACACTTCATATTAAATTAGGCTCATCATAGATTTCCTTTTAAGTTTACTCCAACTACCTTATTTACTTGTAACTCGCCGTTGTGGCTGATTTATTGTTTATCACAGAGTGATAAACAAGGCTACAATATGAAATATATTTAAGCCTTTTGTTTATTCTCTCTCTTGTCCTGTCTGTATCTTTTAACCAAGCATATCTCTCATTTACTTAGCAGCAATCAATATGACCGAAGGGTGCTATATATGTGCATAAAATTTCACAAAGTTTCTCGAACTTCCAGGTTGGCGTTACCTTGAGAGTTATCATTCGTAGATCCCTAAAGAGACTTGCTAAAATACCGACAGGAGTACAACTTTATTAAACAATAGTGAAACAAACACTTGAACACTGCTCCTTGATCTGCTTGTAAGGCGCTCAGATAAATCAAGTATTGTAAAAAAAAAGAAAAGAAAAGAAAAAAAGAGAGAGACTCAGAGCATAGTTAATCTTCGAAAGAAAGTATTCCACAAGTGGATCTGTCTTTTTTGATTTCTTTAAGACATTGAAGATCGTCAAATTAAAGTTTTTCACAATTGTAAAAAAACTCAGTAGGAGTGGCGCATCCCTGCGTCACTTGTGCATGTCCACTTTTACTGCTTGGACAATACCTACTTGTATAATATTCTCATGATAAAGTCGTGATGGCACATTTTAACTGTTGCTATCATAATAAAAATGGTGAAACAGAGTTACTCATGATCTATGCCGGCGTGTTCATCATTTCATCAATAAAATAGAGAAGGTGTGATCTTATTTGAAATACAAACAGTCAAGAAGCCAAAATAGCTCTTGGAATTATTCAAAAGTTTCTAATTAGATTAGTTTCTGTTGCCTTGTTATCATATAAATGTAAAATCAGCCAGCACATCTACTGAGCGTCTGTTTATTGAGATAGACTACTCAAGCGTAATATAATAACAGAGTATCGCATCGGACAGTGTTCGTACTTTAAATTCAGACAATGTTAATCTTTTTTGGACGAAATAAGTAAGGAAATTCAGATACAAAAGAACACATTTTTAAAAATAATAATTGCTCTTTTTACCAGTAAAACATTTAAGTCAACGCCCCACCGGAATGGGACGAGGCAATCACATTGGAGGTGACAAGTTGTCTTTTGAAGACATTTGATCGATCTTGACCATTCCAGGTAGAACGAGCAATGAGGAGTATGTTCCTGAAGGCCATTACATCGCGATTCCAAAAAATATTGCAAGTGTTGCACTTCAATACTTGATGGATCTTTTTGGAATCATCGCCTTCTTCACGCTTTAGGTTCTGTAGGCGTTGATTTGAGCAAAAGTTGCAGGCCTATAAGGGTATTGTTTAGAATGCATGATATATCATCATTGTTATACTAACCTTGGAGGTTTTGTATTCATTGGTATCGAAAAGTAACAACTCTCTAAGCCCCTCTCTGTGCTTTAATTGTCTATAAATTTTGTTGGAGACACTCTGTCGAAGATCTTTAAAACGGTTTTTGTTCTTCCTCTTGTAAGATACGAATAATGCTTGGATTATACTAAAAAGAAAAAGAGTATATACCTTTCGAATTGTGGGATAGGAGGTGCGTGTGAGTTCCTCTTGGACAACCGCAGACTTTCCTTTTTTTTTCTGGTCCTCTTCGTGTTTTTTCCTCGTGATTTGTTATATTTCTTGCCGCCATTCAGCAATATGCTTACGCTTTCTTGAATGGCCATTTGGGGCCCAATAGAATTTAGCCATTTTAGCTTTGCGGTCTCAAAATTGTAAAAGTTCAATAAGACGTCCATGTGTTGCAGTATATACGTTAGATATAACATGTACTATTGAATGGATGCAGTTTTCGACGAAGATATATCTGTTTCAGTTCTTTCGATATCTAAACTTTTTTTTACAATCTTGTTGTAAATTCTGGCGTTTTACAGCTCCACCCATACCGTAGTACTCAGCAGAGGATAGGCGGCGCACATCGGTACCTCCGTGGTAAAGGACAAAGGCACCCTTTCTTCCTGGGCCCACAGTACATGAACGAAAATATTTATCTACTTCGTCGCTCGTAAAATTACTTAGCTCTAGAGAAACGTGATCTGTTACTGACGACGGGAGCATCTTTCTACAGGACAAGACTCTACACGTGTAACCATCGGTGAACATTCCATTAAGAAACATTCTTCCTGTTTTTTCGGGCGTATTGTTAAGCTCTTCCCAGCTATATGATTATCACTAATAACTTACATATAAAAATATCTAATAGTGATGCCATCGAAAACCCAGCTTTTTAAAACCAAGCATTTGGAAGAATCGTCTTTGATAATGATCAAATGGGAACTGATTTACTTTTCTTGTCTTGCCTCGGGGAAAATACCTGTGAGGTTCTGAGCGTCGTTTTTTATAAATCGCCAGCCCAATCTGGGATTCGGAAACAAACTAGAAAGTCTGGGAGATACGAACTTGCTGGCACTATCTTTATCATCTTGAGAAGATTAATTCGCTATCAATTCTTCGTATTGTGATAACACATGCCTAAAATCAGGTAGTATGCCAAAAGGCGAACTATTCAAGGTTGCTTTGATACCAGGAGCGTAGGCATTCCGTTTTTTATTTCCACCATCAAAGGATTCAGAAAACTGGTAATATCATTAGCCACATCAGATTCAAGAGGTTCAAGTATATTCACTGGTGCAAGTAAAAGCTCAGAGCGCAACAGCACTTCGCCATAAATGTGATGTATGCTAGGTTTTTGATGCAACCTACCCTTACATCCTAAAAGGCACAAGTTGACATTAATGTACAAGAAACAGAGCACAGAAAAAGCCTCTTGGTTATCACTTACCGGATACTTGTTTTTGAGAGTATATGTGAAGTAATTGCATATGATATTTTCAAAATTTTCAACATAGTAATTGCTGTACGTTACTGCGAACGTAACGCAGGCGGCTGACAACGACTGCTCATAATTCTTCAAACTGTTTTCAGCGACAAACAGGTGTACCATTTGGAGTGTTTAATAATTCTGCAAAAGCGTTTGTGAGTTGATCGATGTGATTATGCTTTGCCATAATGGAATCAACTTTATCAGAGCTACTACGAATAGCCCTTGTAATGGTATACCAAAAATTCTGATCAAAAAATTGTTTGTCAAATTCTGTGGGTATTTCAAAAGAAGCAATTGGCAAATATCGAAGCTTTGAAGAGTACTTCTCTTATAAAAGCTGAAATCATCTTAATTTTCTACAATGAGTTGTCTCTTTGGGTGGCAAAGTGTGTCCTAGGCTGTTGGCCTTTTGCTAATGTGAGTGTAGTTTGTTTGCATGAGATATTTTCCCACCATTGTATTTTGTATCTAATCTTCAGAAAGTAAAGCCGCATTTTTGCAATTTTTATAATACAACTTATGCGAAAAAGCGACAAGTCATTGCGACATCTCTTTCTGGAAATGGTGTATCTAATCTTTAGAATATACATATAGCTTTTTTAGCAAGAAGAAAATTACATAAAAAGTGATAACTTTCGAATAAACTAAAATGAGCACTCAATACACAACTGTTATAGATGAAAACGCCAAACACGTTGCTGATATGGAAAATAAATTCAGAGATGTATTTTCTACCGGCAAAATAGTTGGCACTTTATTCGATGTCAGAGAAGCTGCTAAGGCTTTTGGTGTGAAGCACAACTTTCCATTTGTTACTTACAAATCGAATCAAAAGCTCATTCACTTGATGCGCAATCATGGAAAAGAGTATGAAAACAATTGCAAGCGTATCTTTGGAGACGAAAAGGCCGTCGTTTGCCAAAAGGACACTCAGCGCATTGGTTGTTCTTGCTACATTTACGCAAGCAAGAACAAATTCCAGCAGTTCAAAATTCACAGATCACACACACTACATTCTCGCCAAATGACTACGGGTTGCCAAACATACGCTGTTTTCGGTCATTTGGACGCAATGAAACTTAAAACTGTGTGCAATCTTTTTGAAAACATGAAGTGTAATGCGAGCTCTATTTTGGAGGTAAAGAGAAATAGTGAATTCCCTGAAAATATCCAACACAAACCTTTTTTTCCCTTTCATTATTAGAATCTCAAGACTCGAGACATTAACAACTTAGTAGCCAGAGGCTTGCACAATACCAGACAACAGCATTTTAAATCAAAGGAATCCGAGTTCAGTGAAGTTCTCAACTTTGTTAACAACTTGAAAACAAAAGGTTATCTTGTTAAGGTTAGAGCCAATTTCAACAATGTCGTTGACATGTTTTTTTTTTTTTTGTGGAAGCTTGTCGTATGTCTGAGTGCATTGTAATTGATGCCACGTATAAGACCAACTCCCACGGGTTGATGCTGCTCAACGTGGTTGGCACGAGTAACACTACAGGAGACGTAAGAGATACCTTAACAACGTATCATATTGCGGGAGTGTAGATGGAACACGAGAAAACCGAGAATTATTCGTAAGCTTTGCGAATGTTCAAGTATTCTGTGTTTCCTGACGCTTTAGTCGCAAACACCTCTTTGGAGCTTTCAAATGTGTTTGTCACGGATAACGAATCTGCTTTGCGACGGGAAATTGCAACCGCTTTCCCTTCATCAAATACACTGCTGTGCTATCTCCACCTTTTAAGAAATAATCAAAAGTATGTTTTTTAGAACTTAATGAAAAATTATAGCAATGGTACACAGTTTATGATAGAAAGATATCGGAATAATCACTAAATTACGTTATTAGAAAATGGCCGTAAAATAGTTAAACTTCGTACTGAGAAGCTATTTTATGAGCCTGCATTTAAGTGTAAAGATGAAGAGTCGAAGGATACTGCAGTAGATGCATTCAAGGCTTACTTCTTGCAGGATTGATTGCGCACAGATAAAGGAGAGACTGCATTTTCACACTTGGAAAAGTATAGCTTTACAATTTATATGCATTACAAGCATGTTTAATTATTCTATTTTCGCTTTGTAGGATTTTGAAGGATGAGGTGCATTGGGTAGCATACTATGCCGACAAGTACATGCATTTGGGCAATCGCTCTTCCAGCAGAGTCGAAGGATCTCACTCTTCCCTCAAGGCGGCACTTGGGACATCATCGGGTAAATTGGCTCTTGTTTCACATAAGGTTGATTTATGGGCAGCAGAAAAGGTAAGTGAAATTTACAGAGCAAATTAAACATATATGATATGTACAGAATGTATGAAAATAAAGAATTACACGAATCACGATCAATAATTTCTTTCCATTTGACATAAGTGAGTGCTACTATCGCTTAAAACGAACAGATATTATGAATTAAATATATAAACTTTCGTGAAATTACATTTATAAAGACATGAGTACACTTATATTTATGTTGTTATGCTTAAAATAATCTGCGACATACTAAATGTAAAAATAGCGAGACCTTAGAAATTTGAAAAACGAGCAAGAAATGTTCAAAAGAAGTGTAGGTTTGCTGAATAAGCATGCTGACTACCGCGTTCAGCAACTACAAGGCAAGGTGCCTAAGTTTGGTATGGACAAAATCAAGCTTGAACTTGCTATGCTTTTCTCTGACCCTTCTTGCATACCACTTACGCAATGCAGTTGCTATTATCGCAACAATTACAGACTTTCTTGTAAGCATGTACTTGGCCAATTTGGTGTTATTCCTCTCAACATCATATCAAAAAGATGGTTAAGCATCAGCTCGCTGAGCGTTAGTATGTATAATAAGATAGCACAAACATACATGTACAGGCTCTTAACAATAATTCTTTTTTATCTATATAAATAGTTCAAAATCATATGCGTGCAATTGAAGAACCAAAAGCTGATCCAGCCCTAATTGATGCAAATTTGTAGAAAGCAATTCTGGAGCTGCAAGATTTAAGCGAAAAATTAAAGAGTGATCAAGACAAAGAGAGCTTACTTCAGCAAATTGAAAACTTAAAAAAGAATGCAGAAGCAAACGAAAAATGTGTGAAAAACTTCCAGTTTCCTTCTATATAAGTGGAATTGAAAGGAAGATCGAAGAACGCAAAGCGTTTATCGATTGGAATCGAGGTATTAGAAAAAGAATTTAGAAAAGAAGCGAAACAGACAAAAAAAAAAAAAGGAGAAAACTTTAAAAAAATTAGAATTAGAAAAAGAAAAACCAAAAGAGGAAATATAAGGTAAGAGTACATAATAAGATTATAAGTTGTCTTCTCTTTAACTTTAGATATTATATGCATATTAACCGTAGCAAGCTGCCTTTTGTTCTGTTACCCTTAGACAATCTACGAATCCAAATTGACAAAAACAAAGTGGATTTAATACTGAACTCGATTGGAGATGTAAACTGTGGATTTAGATGTATAGCACATGCTATTTATGGTGACCAACACCAGTTCATACAGGTTAAAGAAAAATGCTAGAGCATTATTTAAAGAACAAAGCATCTCTATATAAAGGCAAGTACTTTTATAGCACAAGTACTTTGATATTCAAACTTATTTATCTTTATTGCAACAGATCTCAGAGATGAAAGAATAAAAGAGGCACTAAAGGGCCGTAGTACGCTCTCTAACACTGCTCACTGATTTGACACAGTCGATTATCCTCAACTAAATGCAGGCACATACAACATTGTTGTTGTGATGTATACAGAAGATAAGCTATGAAGAATGAAATATCGACTCAGTCATTTCAAATTACTTCTTATTGCAGACTGTTTTCAACTCCACTGGCCATTATTTATACAATGAAAAACTTCAAGCTCTCAATAATTTAAAAAATGATTCGACTCTTAATCAAAACGTCAAGAAATATATCACTGAAATATACAATTATTTCAACAACGTTGAAATTAAAGTAAATTTTTTGAAAAAATATGAAGAAAAAGAGAGACAATCAAGATTGCAGAATTCCGAGAAAGTACTACAAGAAGAAGTTCAGTTTACATCAAATGAAATAATAAGTGATTATCTTGCGGAGAGCAGCAGGAAGAGAAAGCTCAAAGTAGGTTTTAATTAAATAAACCCTTACCGTGTTGTAGACAATAACAATTGCAAATTACATTTATAGGAACCAACAGTTCTGACTGTTAATAAAAAAACATTCACAATGCTGACTCCAGAATATATTGCCTCGCCTAATACACCAACTATTGATGACGAAAACTTGCAGCTAATATTAAAAAAGACTGACCTGTGTCTCAGCTCAAATAATACGCTCGCAAGTGAAGAAACACCTCAAGAATATACAGAAATCAATAATAACCATGGCAACAACACGTCATTTAATAGCATTCCAGGTGCTATGGGTTTGTATAGAGAAATAATGTCTTGATAGTACCGATTTCGATGAGAAAATTACTGTCCTAACTTATCAAAAGAACCTCTTCAACAAAGTTTATCAAATTCGCATGCATTGATTTCGCCAATAATTGCCAACATATCACACCGAACCCATAATGACGAACGTACCATCTTCGTCGAAAATGTACTACTATTGTTTAAATACTTTGGTAACACCACCAATGCTATCTCTTTCCGCTGGTAAGTTTTATTTAAGAATTATATTTATGTTTTATATAAACTGAGTTGTGTTGTATAGGGACGAGAAAAAAGATAAAGAAACGGCCACTTTCGTTTTTTACATTAACAAAAGTAAAGGAGGTCTAAGACTCGCCGATGGCATTAGATCGTACTTAAATGGAACAAGCTACGTGGTCATAGAATCATCGGGGTAAGCAATAAGTAATGGATTTATTTCATATTGATGTGTTTGATGAGGTAATCACTATAATAACTCGAGTATAATCTTACAGTAGAGCATGCATTCTACTTTCTTCTATTGCATTTGATAAGAATAACTTATAAGGATAATAATAATAACTATAGTAGCTACTAGTACAACAATAATAATATAAGCATAAATAATCATATTGACCACATTTATCATACTGACAACATTTATATTCCCTATAAAACTCTTACACAAACTTAATTTAATAATATTCAACTCTTCTTAATAAAGAATCTAATTCGTAAGTTATCGAGTTAATAACCTTTTTACAATAACAAAGCTGAGTACAACACATATGAATTTAAATAATTAGAAACAATAGTTATGACCATACTCAAAACATCGTATACACCCAAGAAGGCTCAGTAAAAAATTTGATCAACGGAGTTGACATCATCCTCAGTATTATTCGCGCATACAGCAAGGCATTTATTTCAACTATGAAAAAAATCCATGCTTATTCAGTGCATATAATCCAAAAGGAAATGAACTTAGCTCACTATCCACTAAAAAACAGAAAATCATAGCAAGTTATTGAATACGGTTCGGCTGAGATCTCCTTGGTACATAATGATCAGAAGAAAATGCTGAAGGTATTCAATTTATTTGCATTTATTTATGTACATATTCACTATCCTATCGATAACTTAATAATGACTGACTTTATTCCTCTTTATAAAATAGAATGAGATCCAGATGTAAAGGAAATTAATGGAGAAGCTTGAAGATGAGCATCTTGGATTGACTGAAGTCGAACCTTATGATATGATCGGTTCTTAGAAGATCTTAATGACTTATTATTAAGTTAATAAAAACAATAATAATAGACAAATACTTGGTACACTCAAAAATGTACTCAAAAATAGGCTAATGCAACAGGCGCTTCCTTGGGGCGCTACATGTGACATTGCTTTACAACTTCATGCTACCAAAGTCTCTCCCTAACCTAAGGCTATCCAGCTCACTCTCTCTGATATAAAATTGGAATGCATCATAATTATAAGTGATTGATCTTAGCTCTTTGTTGATAGACTGACAACATAAATAAAGCAATAACAACGTTTCTTTTTTTATCTCTTTCTTCTTCTTGAAAAGAGACAATTCAAGATGGTAACTTCATAAACTCATGTTTAGCTTGACACTACACATTGAAAAGCTTTGTTAGGCGACATCATAGGTAGTGGGTAGAGGTAGCGCCTGTAGTATTAGTCTATTTTTGAGTGCACCAAGTGTTTGCCATAATAATAATGATAATAACGATAATAGTAAAAAATGTATACATAGTTGATAATACTGCACTTTTATCTGCCTTATTGGCTTGAGTAAATTTTGTTCTGTTACAAATTGTGTAATATGATTGACCTTCGATACAGTTTTAGCCATACGTTAAGATCAACAAAATGAACAGGACACTTTTTTTTTTTTTGATAATAAAAGCTAGTCTAGAAACTGTTTATATATATATATATATATATATTACGAGAAACTGTCAAATGAAGAAAAGTGTTGCTCATTTCAATGAAAAATGCGAAGTAATCTGTTCCAGCAGAGTACTCAGAAGTACAACCTAAATATGTCTTTTTGATTTCATTATTGGTTGGCAGTTAGAGAAGTAAAGAATCCAATCGCAACGGATGTTACATACAAGGCTGTTGAATATGGCCCTTACGTCCTATGATCTAACTTTACATCCAAAGCAGAGAATGGCCATGCGCACATTAATATTTTGGCTGGTGAACCATTGCAGTCAGGTCATAAAACAATTCTATCTATTATAAAACTACATAGTAGGATAATATTTTAATGATGTAACAATCAGGTAATCCAATGTTTCATAATAGTAAGCTGTTCTTTATTCTATACAAATGAGTTGGATTTGTATAGGATTCACTGTTAATCAACCTTACTCCTAATTTATTACATTAAGTACAACAATAATGTTTAGGTCTAGTGTCTTAAACCTTAAATCCCTCTTTTGCTGATAGTTAGCAGAATACAATATGGTATTCACCTACTAGTGTTGTTAAAGGACTGCATGAGCTCTCACTTCACTTGGATTATGCCTGATTATACTATTTTCTTGTTGGTATATGGCATCTTTTTATATGGCTGGTGTGGAAATATTTTTGGGTTGATGCTACTCTTTGGTTATTTTTTCCACTTGTATTGCCTGTTTTTTCCTCTCTTAAGAGATTTTTTTTTCTTTTAAGTCGACAAGGGGCTTTTACTGATTCCAGTGCTTGGCATATGACAATATCTATGGTTTATCTGCACAAAAGTATTATCTGCTCATATTAATTACAAAGATAAGCAAGTATGTATATGCTAATTTATCAACAAACTGGCCAACTACATTTAAATATCATTAGCATATATGCGTATCAGTTACAGGGAAGTATACCACCTCAAGTAGCAAGCTCCAAAAGTTTGCTTGTTATTCAAGGGTGAAACCACTGCATTACGAATGGCTTCCTTCTATTGCTCTGGGTTTTGCAAACCTTTGAAGCTACTAAATATATAGCTAGTGAAGGTTATTCTGATATGTAACTCTTAGGTTCTACACCGTCGTCTAGTACGATTAACAATATATATATTATTTATTAAAAATTTAAAAACCCACAGTGAGTATTGTATCAGGCACAAAATACAATAAACATAAGAGACGATAAATAGTTAGACTCAGTTAAGTTGTTCTTTATTTAAAACAAAAAGAATCCCCTATTTATACTATTGTGGAGGCAGATCAAGAACTGTTCAGTTTTTAGATCATCTTCTTCAATTGAAGCTTTTAGCAAGAGAAAGTACCAATCAATACCAGCTGTTGTTTCAATGAGGTTTGCTTTAGGATGTGTGCTGTCTTTAAAAATTTCCAATCGTCTAATTTTAAAGCCCTGTATCCATACTATGTGCCTCAATCTTATGAAAATTTCAAAGCTTTGATTGGTCAAGTTGTTCAGGCAAACTTCAACTGTGACTTTAGTTAACCATGCTAATTTTTATTGGTAATTTTTCCTATGGTGGAAAAGCGTGTGTGTGTGTGTGTGTTTGTCAAAACTGTGCATTTTTTTTTTCTTTTAAAAAAGCACAGCTGTGAAACTAGTTTCTTTTACACTTAAAACATGTCAAGAAGCGACGAAGAGTCTAATATATTTAATCAAGACGAAGACGACATTCATCGCTTTGGTAGAGAAGACGACGACGATGATGAAGAAGAAGGTGAAGATATTACCTATAATCGTCGACGTGCTGGAAACGCAATAGAAGACGATGATAATGATGAAGATGATGAAGATGAGGAAGAAGAAGAAGAAGACGAGGAAGAAGCTCGAAAAGTACATTTTGCTAAAAATGTTTTTTACTTATATTAATTGATTATATATACAGATTGCAGAAGGATTCATCGTAGACGATGAAGAGGAATCTGATGCGTCTGAAGAAGTAACTGCTCGTCGTAAAAAAAGAAAGAAGGTTGAAGACTGTAATGTGTAGACAATATGTAGTAATCGGGTACAAACGTGTCTTATTTTATATTGTTATCATAGACGATGAGGATTTGGACGAAGAAGATTTAGAATTGCTTGAAGAAAATATGGGAATCAAGCTAAACCGTTCTACGGGTGTAAGTGGGATTTTTATGATAAATACGCAGAAACACTGAACGAAAACCATTTTTTATTATAAACAGCCTAAACTGAAGCGCCTTAAACGCGGTCGTGAAGAATTGTCACGTCAGGAATCAAGAAATGTAGGAAACATTTTCTCCGATGAAGAACAGGCCGAAGATCAGAACCAGCGTGATGATTATGCTGAGGATTACGATGACCGTTCTAGATATCGTCGTGATATGTATGATGATATGGGAGATTTCATTGCAGATGAGGATGACGAGGACGATTTAAATGAAGTATTGGGCGAAAGAGCTGAGGCTCGTGGTTACGATGACGAACGACGTGGCAGAAGAAAGGCAAACATGGACATGATGAGTATTTTACCCGAAGGCATGAGTGAAGAGTAAGTATCATAATGTATCTTTATAGACTGGTATCTGACATCTGCTTTAGTGTACTTGTTGACATGTACGATATCTTTGGCGATGGTAGAGAATACGAATGGGCTTTGTATAATGATGAGGTATGAAGTATACAATTGGCTATTTATATATCAGTCTAAATATGTCAAATTAGGAGGAGGAAGCCGAAAGAGAGCGTGAACCTCAATTAGCTGATATATTTGAGCCTAGCGAGCTTGCAGAACGTATGATGACAGAACAGGATGAAGAAATTCGTTTGCGTGATGTTCCAGAGCGCCTCCAAATGCGATATGAAGGCACTAATAAATCATTTGAGCAAGCAACCAACGAAGAAGTTCAAGAGGAAGCTCTCTGGATAGCTCAAGCTATGGTGAATGCTAGAGGCATGCTACAGCCTGACGAACAGTTTATTTCCGCCATCGCGTATGTTGTTGGGTTCCTCACACGTGAATTCTTAGAAGTGCCTCATATCAAAGACCATCGTCGAGATTTCTTTACAGAAATTAACAAAGACACGGGTATTAGTAAAGAAATTTTGACAGAAAAAGATCTTTGGGAGATATACGACTGGGATTTCAAATACCACGGCTTTGTAGAGCGTCGACAGGCTTTAAGAGATTTCCTCGAAAAGACACAGATTACAGATGAATATGTAGACACTATACTGAGTAGAGCAGAAAGAGTAGAAGAAATCACCGATTTGACCGAATATGTCAATCTCAACTTTTCTGAAAGGATCAATGCTATCCAGCAGCATAATCGTGGGCCTAAACGCCCTACTACAAAGTCTTTGTATCAATCCAGTAAAGATTCTGATATTCATAATCTTTTACCCAAATTCGGCGTTACAGCAAGACAATTTGGTACAAACTACATGGAAAGCACACGCCAATATTTCCCCGAAGACAGTCCTTTGGATCCTATTGCAGAAGCACATCTCTATATTGACAATGTATTCACAGATGAACACAAAGTCTTGAAGGCTGCTCGATCTATTTTGGCTCAAGAGCTTGCTTATGATCCACAAGTACGTAGAGCGATGCGTCGAGATTGGGAAGCTTATGGTACAGTGACAGTCAGACCAACAGAAAAAGGGTATACTGTGATTGATGACCTTCATCCGATGAAACCTTTCAAGTACTTGTCAGATAAACCCCGTGACGCTTTTAAGGATGGACAGTTCTTGCAAATATTGAAGGGTGAAGCAGATGGTCTTTTGAATGTGACCATAAGCATTCAAGATTATCCTTCCTGGCTCGGCCGAATGTGTGAGTTTTACCTTTCAGATGGCTTCAGTGATTCTGTACAGCAATGGAACGAGCAACGAAAGGAAGTCTTGAACTTAGCATTGCAAGAATACTTACTTCCGTTGATGAAAAAGCATGTACGTGAAAAACTACGCATGGAAGCTCAAGAATCTGTTTGTCATGCGGCCTTTACCAGTCTTTACAACAAAATCAACGTTGGACCATTTAGAGGTCCAGAATCTCAATTCAAGAGTGCAGTTCCTCGCGTGGTCACAGTTACAGCTGGGAACGGTACTCATAAAGACCCAGTTGTTGCAGTCTTTGTAAACCAACGTGGAAAAGTATTGGATCAGATAGAAGTGCCCAACTTGAAAGACGAGAAGGACTGGAAGCAACTCTCCGAGTTCATCAAGTCAAAAAAGGCCAACGTACTAGGTATTGCAGGTTACAATGCAGAGATACGAAAAGTGATAAAACATATGCAAACAATGCTAAGTGAAATCAATCAGTCGAACGAACAAAGTGGGCTTTCTAAAATGGACATGGTGATCGTAGATGACGAAACAGCAAGACTTTACAAGAGTTCACGCCGTGCTCAGCAAGAATTCCCCGAGCATACAGAGACAATGAGATACTGTATCTCCCTTGCTCGTCGACTTCAAAATCCCGTGATGGAATACGCTAGCTTAGGTCGCGATTTGTTGGCCATTCACCATCATGACCTTCAGCATCTGATACCCGAAGATACACTGTTATTTTACTTGGAACGCGCATTGATCAGCGTTATTAACGACTTGGGCGTCGATATTAATGCAGCCGTCCAAAGCCCCTATCTGGCTAGCGCTCTTCAATATGTCTGTGGGTTTGGCCCTCGTAAGGCCCAAAGCATCTTGAAAAAAATTGAAGCGACAGGTGAACTCGAAAGCCGTACAGCTCTTGTCCTTCGTAAATTGACGCCAGCAAATACATTTATGAACTGTGCAAGTTACCTTCGCATTCGAGACGTGGATGGAGCAGATATTTTAGATGATACACGCATCCATCCTCAGGATTACGAATTGGCGAGAAAAATGGCTGCTGATGCGCTTGAAATTGATGAAGACGAAATGGATGACTATGACTCTAAGGTGGCTGTTGTCACTCGTGTGATTAAGGAATATCCTGACAAGCTGAACGACTTAATTTTAGATGACTATGCTGTTGTTTTGCGTAAGCAGTACAATGCACCTAAGCGACAAATCTTAGAGCATATAAAACTTGAACTTCAGGGTCCTTATCATGATCGTCGTAACCGATATGCTCGCCCTACGATGGAAGAACAATTTGTCATGGTGACTGGAGAAACGCGTCAACAGTTGAGCGAAGGCTTTATCATACCAGCGATGGTGGTTGCTTGTCGTGGCAAAGTTGCAAATTGTGTGCTTGACTCTGGCTTGGAAGGAATCATTTACGTCAACAATGTTTCTGATGAACGTGTCATGAATGTATCTGATGTACTAAAAGTTGGACAAACGATCAACTGTAAAGTATTAAGAATCGATCGTGACAAGTTTATGATAGAATTGTCTTGTAAACCTTCAGATACCAAGCCTGGAAGTGATCTGCATCTCCGTCGCTTGCCCGAGGATACATATTATGATCATACCGCCGAGGCAAAAGATAAAGAACAGCAAAAGGCAAACAGACGCAAGCAATCAAAATCGAAACGTGTTATCAAGCACCCACTGTTCAGACCATTTAATCATATGGAGGCTGAAGAGTATTTGTCTTCACGTCAACGTGGTGACTTGGTCATTCGGCCATCTTCACATGGCTATGATCATATTGCCATTACATGGAAAGTGGATGACGGGATCTATCAGCATATTGACGTATTAGAAGTTAAGAACAATAATGACATTCATGCACCACCAAAACTAAAGATCGGCAACCAGATGTTTGAAGATTTGGATGAATTGATTGTAACCTATGTCGAAGCTGTTGCACGCAAGGTTGAAGAGATTATGGCACATCCTAAATATGTACCTGGTGGTAGCCGTGCATTGAACGAGCATCTAACAGCATTAACTCAAGCGAATCCAAAGGTGTCAGCTTATGGTTTTTGTCAAAGTGAAAAAGCAGGCTACTTTGATTTAGGCTTTAAAATAAGTGCAAAAGGACCACCTATGCGATGGGTAAAGTATACATATATATAAAATGTGTAAAGATAATAGACATTAAATTTCAACTTAGGTTGTCAAGGTGCTGCCAGATGGTTATCGTTTGAGGAACGTGTCTTATCCTCAAGTGGATGACTTAATAAATGGATTCAAGCGTATTCAAATGGCAGAAGCAAGAAAACGCAGGGCATAAAAAAGTCTGTATACATTACCAAAAAAAGAAAAAGATATTTTGTAGAAAAACGTTGTGGTTAATAAAAATAATAATAAACATTTAACGCATAATAAAGTGAAAAAAAGGATACGAAATTGCCTGTCTTTGGGTTAAATTTGTTATCATTGCTCTTGTTGGAAGGGGTCACGTTGAATGACAAGTCACGATGCTGCATGAAAACCGAAAAAAAAGTCAACTACCTTTTTCTTTTTCTTTTTCTTGCTTATTTTTATTTTATCTTGTTTCGACATGGAGCAATCTATCCATTTCGCAAAAGAAGCTATTTCTAATATAAAAAATAGTATCATTTATGGAAAAAGAAGTGGATACTATGCACAGATGGATGCAGAATCGGAGAATGAAGAGGAGTATTCACATAGCCTGTTCTATTCAGTTCATCAAAGTGACCATATCAATGAAGATAGTATACCCCTTAGTTTCTCAAATGCATATTCGGACAGAAGCCAATTACTATTTGAGCAAAGTGATGTAGTATCAGATATTGGAGAAAGCTATGAAGAAAGTCCTGTAAATATTCAATCTATTTAAAATTATAATCTATTAACTGAGCGTCTCTTTTTTTTTTTTTGTAGAAACCTTCTGCTATCTATCTTGATCCACTACTAGAGCCATCCTCTACTCTGCCACCACTCAATCCAAAATCATTAACCGAGTCACTGCTACCGATAACTTCATCTGTAAATAGCTACGTGATTTATATATTTGACATTTTAAAATTTCTCTATTTAGATACCACCTGAATTAAGCCAAATGGATCGAAAATATAAAGATCCTATCTTTGCTTTACTTTATGGGATAGCATTTTCAATATTTCTTATATCAGGCATCATTATATTATTTACAACCGATGTAAGACAAAATATACTTGCATACACTCTTTACCAATTCTCCTTTGTATAGACACATGCTGTAGAAGACCTTGTAAAGGAATCCACTTTTAAAGTAATAAAAGACAGTGCAGGCATGTTGGCTACGGTTATTGCAACGTCTTTGGTTATTGCTACCTTTTGGCTGATCATCTTACGGATGTTTACAAAAGTAAGTCATTGATCACGCTCAGAAACAAATAATACTAACATGTTGATATAAAGGCACTTGTATGGGGCACAGTGGTTTGTGTACCAGTAGCATTAAGTGTCTGTTTTATATGGTCACTAGTAGAATCATTACAATACATAAACGTCTATGAAGGAAATGAAGAATTTTCATTTAGAGATACTGGGTAAATTTCAATTCATCGTTATCTTTATGAATCTTATGTTCTCTTATTAGGCTTACTTGGATATCAATTATACCGCTTATATTAAACTTGATTTACATTAAAGTCGTATATGATCGTAGACATAGAATTAACAAGACAATTTCTGTTATAGAAGTAAACAAAGAGATACAGTATGAGTCAAGAGGGGCTTACGTATTTGTTTGATAGCTTGCGTGCGACATGATTCGCTCAAATCCAGCTATCTTAATTGTGCCAATCTTACTACTTACCATCTTTATTTTATTCACAAGCATATGGATCACTTTTTTCAATCGATTATGGCTCATTGGTCGATTGAGCAATCCTTCTACTTTATCAAGTAAGTTGTATGGCATTCTCAAATACTTTGCTAATATACTATTCAACATAAAGAAGCCATATGGATAGTCAATAATTATGCCTATTACTTAGCAGCATTTTACATATTCTTTTACATGTGGACATCAATGATACTGATTTACCTTGAAAAGTAAATAAGGAAAAGAATAGAGTATAAGTACATTAACCCCCATATCTAGGTTTGCACTATCTAGTATGACCGCCCAATGGTACTTTCACAGAAACGAAATATCTAGCACATCAATGAGTGTGTGGAGAGTTGCTATTATAAAGGGAATGACCACATCATTTGGTACCATTGCTTTAGCAGGATTTCTCATGTCCCTTGTTCACTTTTTACAGTTTGTGACAAGGCAATTAAAGAAGGCATGTGAATAATTTGATTTGCGATTTAATTATATATTAATACCATGACTAGTATTCTAAAAAAACAAGGCCCTTGGTCAGCGTGGTTGAATTTATCCTGCGTCTTATAGACCCTATTGTTAGCATAGTGAATCATTATACAGTGGGTCTAGCTGGAATCACGGGTGAGAACTTCTTTTCAGCAGCGAAATCAGCTACAAAGATCTTTAGAAGAAACTTGTTAAGCGGCATCTTTGGAGGTTTGTCAGTTATACTTTCTTTTATATAATCTAATCATGTTTTTTATATATAGACTTTTTGACACAAGTTATTCTACACATTGGTACAGCAGTGATTGCACTAACAACAGGCCTATCTGCATATATTTATGCAACACATCAACTCCATTCACCACATGGATTTGTCGTTGGACTTATTGGTACACTTACGCCTTACTATATATCCCAGTTTTACTCTTATGTTATGATGAGCATGTAAGTTCTTTTACAGACACATATCACTAGACTAACTCTCTCTTTCTCTCTAAAGCATTGATGCTACTTTCCTCTGTTATGCTATTGATTTAGATACCGGCACTGTACATTTCTCAGCTGCTCATAACGCATTCTCAGGGTATGATTAAGTTGTCTATGAGCCTATTATTCTTTATTATATATCCATTCATTTTATTTCTATTTATTAAATATTATATGTATCAATAACGTACAACCATACATATACTTTATAATGTCTTCTTCAATCGTTTTATGGGGAGCGTTTTCGCAAGAAAGTCGTGTACAGGGCCTAAAACTACAAACTTTTCATATACTAACGCAGTAAGCAAGTTTCCCATGATGAGCCCCCAGAGTTTCCATCTGAACTCACGAGGCATCACATTGTGTCCTAATGGTGTGTTATAAGGTGTAATGGATATGGAAGGAGGTGTGTATCCGATTTGTTGTAGCACCTGTGGTGTACCACAATTGAAACGGAATAAGCAGCCAAATGGGTTAGGGTCTGCCAAAAGCCAATAAGAAGCTATGATGAGGTATAAAAGCCAAAGGGTGACAAGGGTGTAGTTCTTGTAAAAGCTTTGTCTAAATTTGTATCCAAAGTTAAACACTGCTGCATTATTGATAAACTGGAAAAGGCACACAAGTGCCAATATCTCTCCTTCATAATTATCTGACAGGAGCATCCATTTGGACATGTCAACAGCTCTTGAATCAAATTCATTGCAACGGAAGAACTCTGTATATCAGAGTGAGTACACACTATAAATTAGCCTTTGTAGTCATTACCTTGCTTGAATAGTAAAACATAAGCACAACTTAGATAAATCCAGTTAATAGCAACTAACCCAATGCCAGATGCAAGTGTTTGAGGACCTAGTATTTGCGCTGTTGGACGCTGAGGTGCTAACTGATCGGCTGCCTTCGATTGTGATACGGCCCATGTCAGGAAAACGGTAATGAAGATATCGACAGCGATCCAAATATTGGCTGACATGGAAACAGAAAAGTAGAATGTGAATATCTTGAGCATCATCATGACTTGTCCATATACTACGCAAAGCATCAATTAGCTAAAATGATATAAAACTATGCTCTCTTACATATGAGATATTTATAGCCTGTTAATGATGTGGCGAGGGCAGCTCTACCTTCTCGAAGCAGTTCAACACATGATGCCACACTACGATTACTAGTACTAAACGGAGACACAATGGATGCTTCAGCATCTGACATGGCAATGCCTACATGGGCAGCACGAAGGGCACCACAATCATTACCTCCGTCACCAGTCATGGCAGTTATACCGCGTTCCATGTGCAATTGTACACACTGTACTTTTCCTGAGGGAGTCATTCGAGCAAACACTCGAATATTTAACAAGTACTTTCGAATCAAATTATGCTCCACGAGCCATTGGAATGCCCTTCCTGTCACAGCTAATTCAACTGTCTTTTCAGTTGGTGCATCTACATTAACATCGGGGAATGTTTCGGGTTCATCCACGTCCGTCCAAACAACACGTTTCAATTGTGAATCATAGTCACCCAAGAGAAAACGGGAGCCATGTAACGCCATACCACACTGACGAGCAATATAAATACCAGTAAGCGCAGTGTCTCCTGTAATCATAATTGTACGAGTATCGCCTCGCTTAAGCTCAGCAATATTCTTGGCTGTATCTTCTTTTAGCTGGTTCTTGAAAACAATCAGTCCCATGAACTCGATGTCCTTTTCCATATCGTCACGGGTCCAGTTGCTTATATCTACTTTATCATAATCGACTTCACGGTGGGCCAGTGCTAATACGTAACATCCTTCTCTTGCCTGATTTGCGGTTACAAGGTCGTAATCAGATGGTATGGAATGAGGATTGGCTACGTCTTTGATCTTTTCATAGGCCCCCTTAATAAAGATGTGTACTTTATTTGTGGATGGATCCAAAATGGCAACCGACATGGACATACGTGCATGAACAAATTCATAACGCTTTAGAACATGTATTTGCTCGCCTTTAGGAGAAATAAGGGTGTCTACAAATTTTGATCCTTGGCCCAAAGTCCACTTGGAAGCTTGAAACATTTCTATGTCGACAGGATTTCCTATGAGTCTGTTGTTCAATATCGTAACCGCATGGCAAGTAGCAAGTCCAAGTTGCATGAGACGAGGTACATTATCCACATTATCCTGACGTTGATCAAAGTTTATATCGCCATTAACTTCTGTCGTTGGCTGAGCACCATAAAATTCCAGGCCTTCCTTTGTTAACGTGCCTGTTTTATCAAAGCAAAAGAGTTGAACTAGAGATGGGATGTTTAGGATGCTGTCATTTTGGAAGCGTTTTCAACTTTACCTTTTCCTGCCATCAATATGCGAGGTAAATCAACACAGAATATGCTCTTTTCTCTTAATCTACCAGCAGCTACAGATTGACCAACGACCAAAGCAGCTGGAAGAAGAGGAGACACTAACTGTGCAATAGCAAACATTGAATAAAACCACGCGGCTAAATAATAATTAGAACAAAGAAATGAAGAGTCAACAACTTACTTGTTCCTGAGCTAACCAGCCAAACAGCCAGACCTAAGCATATTAGACCACAACAGAGCAGAATTAAGATGACAATCTTGATTTGCTCATCAAAGATAAAAGAGACTCGTGTTGGGAAAAGGATTTTTTTGATCAATTGTCCTTTATCTGTCGCAGTTCCTGTGCTTAATGCCAATGCCTTCACTCTTCCATCCGTTGCCTGTGCTTGACTGATGATTGTTCCTGCAAATATGGTTGATATCTTGCTAGTGCCCAAACGGTCATAGGCCGTCGTATCATCTGAACGCAAGGGGAACTTGCGGATCGGTAAAGGTTCGCCTGTAAGCGAGCTTTCATCAGCTACAATATTGCCGGACAAGACAACTGCATCACAAGGAGTTGTTTTTCCTTCGACAACTTCAAACACATCGCCTGGCAAAAGGTCTGCCGTTGATTTCAGTTGCCACTCTCCGTCTCTCAATATGTGCACCTGATCTGTGAATTCAGCCATTGACTTGATGCGTTTTTCGGATCTGAGACGAACAATGACTTTGACGAGAGCTGATAACAAGATGACAGCTGTGTCCGCAATACCAACCTGCCCTATAAGAAATATGTTAGGTATTTAAAGTAACTGCAGTAAAGCAATACTTACAGTAATCCAAATAGTAAAATAACCAAAGTACAGTGAATTGGTAAATATAAAAGAATGACGAAAACTCTCGAAACATGGCCATAAAAAAGTTGGGAACATACACCTGAATAAAGTTAGGACCGATCAGCTCTTCTCTAAGCATAGCCTCCTGGCTAGTTAAACCTTGTGTGAGTAAAGCAAGTTCAGCATGTGTATCGCCAAGATGAAATTGATGAGGTGTGAACATATCAATGCTTGGATTGTAGACATATCTAGTACATTGGTAAATAAAGTACTTTGTTCCGCTTGATGTATATCGAATGGGTGCGTTTGAGACAATAACATCAAGTCCAACCAAACGTTTTGCAAAATGTTCTAATGATCTTATTGAGCTCATGATGGCATTGGATTGATCTTGTAAGAATATCATTGCTATATGTATACAACTCTATTTAGTATACTATAAGCTTGGTTATTAAAGTACTTATTACCTGATTCCTTTCTTTCGACTTGAACATGTTGCCCTTCTTTGTAACTGCATCGGATTCTGAAAAAGTTGAGCAGGCGATGTCTAAAGACTGTCAGACTAGCGAACCAGCCGAATAAGACATACCACATGCCCATGAAGGTACTCGTGGCTACAACCGAATTGCCGCGAAAGGCCGAATAGCTTGTATAATAATCTTGTGTTACCATTATCATATATCCTATATGACCGACTGTCTCAAGGCAAAACAAAGCAAGCATAAAGGTACCCAACCAAGAAGCTTTGTAGGCAAGAATGGTAGTACCTTCCTCTTCTTCGATAGTCGATTCATCGCTGTAGTCTAGGCTTATGTCACCCTTATCCTTTTCGTCCAGTATATAGCGATCAGTTTTTGTCTGTTTAGTCTTCATATACGAAGCTTTTGACAACTATTCTTGATTAAGGTTAGCGAAAAGTCAAGCGTGATCACCCCTTAAATTATCTACTTACGCTTTCTACAGTCTTCTTATAAACAGTCCATGCTATGATAGTAGAGAAACAGGCACCATAAAATACATATAAAGCGATAAATACATTTTCAGTGAATGTCAATTGCCCGTAGTCTGGTGTAGGACATTCATGCCACATGGCTGTCCTTGGATTACTTGTCCATGTTGGTACGTCTGATATATTGGCTGCCTTTGCACATGCCACAGCACTTTGATTAGTTTTATTCTCCACAACAAAATTTTCAATATTGACTTGAAGCAGGTGGGAGCCACAAGAATACACTTTGCCGACCAATGCAGGGGCTCCAGGGCAGGCGCATGCGGAGACAAGCGAGTCCGGACAACTTTCACGACAGCTGCCGTCGACGCAGTACACCGTGCCTGTAGGACAAGCGGGTGGTCTACTACTAGGCGGACAGAGTGAAATATCACGCACGCAGAGTACCGGACATGGATATGCATTGTAAGACGGTAAAGGACACCTATTACCATAAATGTCGACATCGTTGACTAAAAGAAATAGGTGTGAATATTCATGTAGATTGGTTATTCTAATGATGTTTCTAACCAGGATTAAACTTTGGTGAAGCGAACACATATTGTGTAAGAAGTAATGAATGTAAAAAGATATAAACATATCCTTTCATATTGACAAGCGTATATTATATATAACAAGAGAGAATAAAAATACGAACAAGTGAGGGAAAGAAGAAAAAAAGGGAGGCTGTTTCTATGTAAATCACTTATTTATACTTTTTTGACTGTGCACGTACACAAGCTCACACAGGCACACACACATACAATGAAAACGACATGAATGTTATTGAAACCCTTGTACTACCTTGATCTTTTTTGTAGATCAAAAGATGAAAACATGCTCCTACTATAGAGCCATGTATTGATTCTTATTGCTCACATCCGTCAAGCTTTATTCCTCTCTTTATTTCGTATGTTCTTCACCTTTTTTTTTTTTTAACTCAATACAAATTATCTTGTCTGCTGCTCAGCACTGGAGGAAATTTATCAGTTTCATTTTGCATTTCGGTCATGTTTGGCTTCTATTGGCTCTCTTGGTTGCAGTCAAGTTTCTCAATAAAAGAGGTTTGAAAACAGACACTTAATATTAATGTTTTAGTTGAGCATAGAATACATTATGTCACATGGTAATACCTCTTTTTCTTTGGTTACAGATATCTTTGCATTAGCCAATGGGAAACTATCTTCTCTACCCCCCTGATCCATTACACGGTACCGCGTAAAACAGAAGCTTCTCTTTATAAAAAATAACCGAGCAATGGGATTACAGTAAGAAGAATACTCCTTAATAAATCTTAAACTATAGAATTCTATCGTAGCTCTGCTTTCAAACCTTACTGCATACAATCCATGTACTCCTGTATCATCTGTTACCAAAACGATATAAGGTTCTTTATTATATTAATCTACACCAAATGTAGGTTATTATCATTTTAATAATAATGTAAGCAATTATAAATTATTAATGTACAAATAAAATAAATAATGATGTTTTTCTAGAATAGTTCTTGTAGATCCTTCAATGTGACGATCCCAGTCCAGCCATTAGATTTACTAACAATAGGTAAAAGTGGTATATTATGTTTGAGCATATATGTGTAGGCTTCAGAGGCAAGAGCATCTTCACTAAAGACAAGGGGATTCGGTGTCATGATATCTGCTGCACAAATATCAAATATATCATTTCTGGATTCTTTAGACTTCAAAATTCTGTGGATATCATCATGTGTGACAATACCAACGATCTTGTTAGGTCGATTATCTTCAATAACAGAGGAAGCAGCAGATAGTGGAGGCGAAGGGTAAAAGCTGTCACTCATCTCTTCTGATAATCCTTCTTCTTCTTCGTCTTCTGCGAGGACAATAACACCCGAGCTTTGAGGGTGCTTTGTCATTTCCATGATAACAATGTTTAGCGAACTTTCAGGGGTTACACAGGCCACTTTAACAGGGTCAATACAAACATCGGACACTTTGAGTAACAGACGGCGACCAAGTGACCCTCCTGGATGATTTAGCGCAAAACCGTCGGTAGTAAACCCGCAAAGCTTAGCCAATGTTAGGGCAATGGCATCACCTAATGCCAATGCCACTGTTGTTGAGCATGTTGGTGCAGGGAGAGAACCGCCTGCTTCAGATTGAACGTAGCCGTCAATCCATGCTGCGCACTCTTTTGCAAGTTTACTGTTAGGGTTGCCACCAAGGCCAATGACGGGTATATTTCGATGTTTTAAACTGGGTAACAGCATCAACAATTCCTCTGTGTTGCCAGAAAAGGATAGGGCCAAGACAACATCGTTTGGCTGAACAACACCGAGATCCCCGTGAAGTGCTTCGACAGGGTGAAGGAACGTTGCACTTGTGCCGGTTGATAACATGGTTGCTACGATCTTCTCACCGATCTTGCCTGATTTGCCTACACCGGTCACTACAACCTTTCCTCCAACGTCCAGCGCTTTAAACATTAGGTAAATTGCTTGATAGTATCCTTCTTTTGTATCTGCATTGGACTTTAATCTTTCAGCAGTTTTTGTTATTGCCTTGGACTCTTCAATTAAGATCTTGGTTGTATTATCAATGATATCATCTGTTATTGTAAACATAAGTGTGTAGAATAGCTCAAAAAGAGAATAGGTAAGATAGAAAAAAAAGGAAGAATGGCCATTTATAAACCCATTTTCTGTTCCTTTCGTGCTCATCTCCGATTGACCAGCACGATCGCCAAGCCACTGTCTTTGACAGTTACTTTGGACGAATCGTTGGTGCACTTTTCTGGACAGAAACAATGCATAAAAAAAGAGGATTGCATAAAAGAATGTCTTTTGTTTTAATGCCATGGCAACTGTAGTAGCTATTTGACAGTTGTTATGGGTAGCCGGGTTCATATACTTACCTTTATCTTTTTTTTTTATATAATTTTGGTTTCATTAGTAATATTTGTGCTAATTAACACCATTCTTATCAATTATGAGGCTATTTTTTATCTTTTTTTTTACAGATTTTTTATTGTCTATTATTCTTTATTGTATTTGTAGAACTAAAATCAGCTGGTCTTGTTTGGTCTTTTTTGTTATTAGGTTTATACTTGATTTCTGCCATAATAGGGATATGACTATCTTAATATATTAGTAATCCATTTTAAACTTTAAGGAGAGACTTACTCTGATGGAAAGTGTGCATTAGGGAAGCCAATAACTTTTGAGAGATATTCATTATCTATATTTCCCAACACAGAGGTCACTTCCAATGTGTTTGTAGTATAAAAAATGTAATCTAAAATTCCTTTAAACTCTGGTGTAAAATTTGTAAATGACAATTCTTGAGTTGTTCCATATGAGCTCTTGAGTGTATATGGATGAGATAATCCTTCCGTGGTATATACTCCATATGAATGATCACCAAAATCTTCGTGATCGTGCGCAACCGATCCTTTAGATAAGAACTCATAGACACCAGAATCTGGAGCAGAATTTAAATCTCCACAGATGACCGTTGGCAATTTAGAACAATGACCATAAGAGACTGATCCTTCATTCAAGTGTCTGTTCGCAAGCTTCTGTATCTCTTCCATCATTACACCAATTTGCACAAGTTTAACATCAGCAAATAAAGGATCCCAGTGAAGATGTGTATTCGCCACTAAAACTCGTTGTTGAGTCACAACATCTTCCAGCAATGAAAGCACTGCAATGTTGTCCTTGTTCATCACTCGGTTATAAATATCTGCCGATTTAAAGTCGGAACGTTGAAGGGCCTTTTGATTGTATTCAATCATTTGATGTTCAATAAGTTTAAATCTATTTTGCTCCCTGTTAATCAAACGTGCATAAATATACGTTACAAAGATTATACCTTGATGTCTTATAAAGCGTCGCACAGCCATCGACTACGCGTCTTTCCTTTTCTGTCATAGTTTTTGCTCTTGTCTTGGGAAAGAAAATGGCTTCATACCCTGCCTTTGCAAAATGCTCTATTAGTTCATCCTCATAGTTTCCCATTTCAACTTCCTATATGGTCCTATTAGTATTTCCTTTGATTATTTAATTATAACTATTACCTGAAGGCAAAGTATATCGGCATTATAATGAGAGAGCTCGGTCAATATTAGCTCCTTACGATAGTCCCAGCTTAATGCCCATGACGGAGTGTAACCATAAGCTTGACTGGTTGCATATTTCCGGCACAAAATATTGTAACACAATACAGAAAACTTATCTATTTTACGTTGGTTACTACTTTTCTTGATACTCTATCTTTTTCAAGCTTATGTGAACCTGAGTCATCTTCACCAGTGTCTCCTTCGACGGGAACCCATTCTCTTTGAGGAGGAGGCATACCAACTAAAAAAAATTGACATTGGCTTTGTTTTCTCCCATTAGATCACATCCACTTACCTGGAGCATTTTCTCGAAGAGACATGATAACAGCTTGTGTACCATCCTTGATCAAGATATTCTTTATGTCTGCTTGAATAGGATTGCCTTCAAGTCCCAATGTCTCGAGTTGATAAAGATTACCAAACTCAGTAGGTAGAGTTACCAAGTTATTGTCAAAGGCCAACAGTTCGCGCAGGTTGATAAGCATACCTAGTTCAGGCGGGAGCATACTTAACTTATTACCAGAGATATCCAAGACCCTCAATTGAGTCAACTGAGCCAAGGAAGGCATGAGGTACGTCAAGTTATTATGGTTAATATAAAGTGCTGTTAAAAACTTGTAGTTACAGATGGCCGATGAAATATTCTTGAGTCCCATGCCACCCATATCTAAAGAAGTCCATGTTTGATTTTCTTCGTTTGCCTTGGTAGTTGTCTTTTTAGTTTTAAACGCACCATGGCCGTTTGCAAACTTATTGGGGTCGTTTGGATCCGTAATAGTGACAGCAGTGGAGACAGGTGTATTACGAGCCATGGCAGCAGCTGCACGAGCATGATGGTGAGGAGATGACGACTGTCGAGAGATTTGCGCATATTGCAACTGACGAGCCAAGTGAGGTGTAGCTGCTTCTGTTGGTGTACCTCCAAGAAGAGGCTGAGCTTGAGGTTGCAATGGGAAACGAGCACCAAATGTGTTGGTGTTGGCGTTAGCATTGGCTGTAGTAGGCATGCCGTACATTGACATTGAATAATTGGCTACAGAAGGCGAAGTTCTTGGAGATGTGGTAAATGCTGCAGCAACATTACCCGAATTAAACATTTGGTGAAGCGAGTGGTTGAAATAGCTGTTACTATTTAGTGGTCCATTTTCCTTTTCTTTATCAAAAGACATGATTTACAAAATGAGCATAATAAATAATAGAAAAAAATGTCGACACATAAAAAAATGGGTCTTGAAAGTACTATATGCACACCTTTGTTTCCATTTTTGGTAAGTCAAGCTTATTGATTGGTCACTGATCTCAGCGAAGACAAAATATGCCCTCCTTGTTCAAATGGAGGACTATTTTCTACTTTTTCATTGCAGTGCTTAGTTTATTTCGTCATTATCTTTTTTTTTTAATGGTGCCTACGTAACCGTGCCTCTCCTTTTCTCCTTGAATCAGAAAAAACAACGTTTGAACCAATAAAGATTTAGGCTAATTTTTGCCGTGCACACCAACATTTGTTACGCCCAAAAAGTGCTAGTGGGTGTTTGCCAAAGATTCAGCCAATCAAGGCCTGAAATTTCTTAGCGTACATCTCCCCCTCAAGATTAATACATCTTTTACCAAAATTATGTCGCAAGAAAAAAAATCAAAATGGGCTGTAAGTTGAATGCCATTCCTTATTCAACCTTATTTGCATCCATATCGACTTCAGATGTGGTCAATGTTCTCTGAGCCGTGCTTTTTTTATTCATGGTTATAATAACAATGAAATACAAAGTTTTTTATATTCGATGTCCCTTTCATAGCTTTCTAAGCGCATTGTTCTATTTTTTTCTTGATTTGTGGGTGGAGTATTTTTGCTGCTTGAAGAATCTGCGAAACCAAAGGGATAGATCGTACCACATCTGAAGTCGAAATGGAGGCAGTTATACGAATACTTTGATACTATTGTGTTTTGACATACCTTTAGAAATGAATTGTAAACAACTGTGCCTGAATCCGATAGGTCATCAATCTATACAATAACCGTTGATGACGCTTCAGTTCAGTGAATGAATTATCTCATCCATATTCAATATAAATGCTATTTCGGTCATAATTATCTCTTAGTCCACACTCAGGAGCCTCAGCTAATATAAATAGCCTTCCAATCTTTTCATAAACAAAAATAATCAATCGCTGTGTCGTACCAAAAATGATTCACGCTTATTGAAACTAAGAAAGCCATCCTTACATTAACAAAATAGTGCATAACATTATTTCTTGATCCAGATATCACAGCACTAAAACTAAGAAACTCTTAATTAAGCTACTTTATCCCAGAACAACTGTTAGGCCCACGTCAACTATAATCCCACAGTAAACTTAAAGTATAAATAAGAAGTACTCTCTTTATCAATAAAAAGAATTAATTCAGTCTTCTTGTATCTTATTATCTCCTATTACCTTTAATATTATTACACTTTGAACTATTGAATTATATATGCAAGTAACTCATTATGTCTGATAACAATAACTCTATCCCTATCCTGTCGAAAATGTACGTCCTCTTCAAGTACAGAATAACTCGATGAATTTTTCCGACAATACTGAAATCATGGAAATGGATATTCAATCAATGGCTACTATTGATTCCGTGCAACCTGAAACTGATTCAACTGATGCTATCGAAATTCTTTGGTCAACCTTGAAAAATCTTACTCAAAAGCTGGCTAGAGGTGCTGCTTTGAATGCCCCTAGTGAAGAATTGAAAGCACTTCAAGATGAAGCCACACGCATCAAGAATTGCATCTTATTCCTGAATGAAGCGCAAGCTGTTTGTATCAATCCATCTTCCATTGCAAATTCACATTTGTCTACTCCTGGCCTTATTTATCAACAACATGCCTCTCGGTTGAACCATCTCATTCCTGCGAACTTTCCTGTGCGGTAATGGCGTGGTAACGAGTGGAAAAAGGATGCAAATGTACAAGATTCTGTAGGAGACCTTTTAAATCCCTCTTCTCTCATTGTTGCATCCAATAGCCTTAATTTGAACAAGAACTGGGCAAGGCTCATCCCTATCAAGATGAGCAGGGATCAACGATTCTGATTCAACGAATCGTTAAATAGTCGTAGCCTTACCTGGCTTGAAGTCCGCAAATTAATCATCAAGACGTACACAGCACAAGATGCGGCTCAAGAACTGGATCACATGAATCAGCTTCTGTCACTCAAGATTACATCGGTAGAATCAGTTGAAGCATTTATAGATCGGTTCCAGCGCATCAGATGCGCTGCTAAATGGGAATATGATGCTCGTACAGCAACCATTTTTAAACGAGCTTTACCTGGCTTCCTTCGCCAAGAAGTATCTTCTTCTTTGCTTCACCTTGGTCGTGATCAATAAGACTCTGTGAACAAGGTAGCTGTTATGGCCTATATGATATTATCCTCAAATATCTGTCAAAATAAGTCCAGTACATCCCGGTCTGCTCCCTCGTTCGTGGTCCCTGCTAACAATCGCTCTACCACAGGTTCTAACGTTCGTCCACTTAGTACAGAATCATCTCGGCACATCCTTAAGAACGCTCACCGTAGCAGCATTTTAGGAGTATTCAAGGCTTCTTCCACAAAGAATAAGTTCCAGTGTGCTGCACATGGCTTGGCAAACCACCCACAGAAAAGTGTAAGAGATACAAAGTTCTCTTGGTAAACAAGTTTATGGGTTCTGGTTCTTCTACTGCATTAACTATTTTGCCCTCTGGTACCGGATCTCCCAGATCAAACATCTGCTTCAGCTTCACTGGGAATTTTCAATGACCCAAGGCACATGCCGCAGTGTGTCCTCGCGACAAGGCCACCTCTCGCCCAGCATGGCTATACGTTCTGCTCGTTTGACTCATGCTTCTGCTTCTTTGTCTGTGACACCTACTTCCACTTCCAACGCTCGTGCCCCTGTCACAACGGTTGATATCAACCAATCAACTGGCAGTAACAGCATGATGGTTATTGATGACGATAGCTTCCCGGTCAATTATGACTGCAAGTCTCATAAACAATTTGTTAACAAAACGCAGAAAGGATGTATCAAACAATACTAATCTTTCTTTAATTGTTCCAACCACTATAGAGCATATCAATACTATGGCATTAGTCGACAGTGGCTCCTCGTTCAGTACGATAGATGTTAATTTTGCTAATAAATATAATATAAAAATAAACACAAATGTGTCTGGTTCCGTAATACTTGCTACCTCTGATCCCACTAGTAAGCGTTTCGATACAACCAATAATCCTTTAAATGCTCTCTACCGTGATAACAGTTATAATTTGATTCATAAACCCCATACATTTGAAGCACTTCCTCTTTCACTTGAAATTGATGTTATTGGATTACCAACATTACCAGATTTAAGCTGCGCGCTTGTTCCTGAATATGACTTTATTAGCTTTCTAAAAGGACATTCCATATTGAGTTACTTTCTTTTTGAATTTTACCACTATGAACCCTTGCTATACTGAAATTCCTGCTTCCGTTACTGATGATTTATCCCTGTCTCCTACTGAAGTACTGTTGAACCTCATTAGGATCATCGGGAATAATATCACTGACAGAATTTATTTTTCAAAGACTGAAATTTGTGTGGTATTTAAGCAAACGAAGAAAAACAATACCTATTCTTTAAACAAAATTTGTGTGGCTTCCAATTCGTACAGAAAAGAATGCGATATCGTTTTTAGCATCCATACTTCTAGCGAGTACACCATTATACTCATAGAAATGACACAACATCATTTGACATAGTATTTCGAATCTATCCTAAAAAGTGTTCATTTCAACCACAGTTTTCCTCTCTCTGCCTTGCTCTTGACTTTGGCAATAGGCTTAGATGGATTATCAGTGTTCTCAAGGCAAATTCGTGGATATACGAATTGTCTCTGTGATACACCTCATGTTGCTTTACCAAGAATTTTTTTGTGAATTAATATTTATAATAATTTCTTTGCTTCGCACACCCTCGTTCATGGCTACATTATTGATATTTTGTGTCTCGTACATACTTTGATCTACTATATTAGCCCAGGAGCAAGGATGTCTTTATTTTCTACATCATTCTCTCCAACCTGCTCGAAATACAAGTTTTTTAATATCTTAGCATCCTCCAATGCTTCCCTGAAGGGTAAACGTGTTCTTCTTCTTTGCTCCTTGTTGCCGTTAACGCGTCTTACAGCAACTTCTTTTCTTTTCTGTGGGCTGATTATCTGGCCCATAACTTGATAGTTATGTTCATATTTAACAAACAAATCAAGAGATGAACTGTCCGTAGTAGAGGTGCTTGATAAGAATTCTCTTACATTTTTTTGTACATTGTAAATTGTTGTCAATTTTATGCAAAAGAAAAGAAAGCGGGAATAAAAAAGCTCACCTCTGTATATATTTATAGTACTAAAATAGGAGAAACAAATTTTATTGTGCACTCTATTTCTTTAAACGACTCTATCTGACCTATTTACTAGGCATACTTTCTCATTTAATCCCTTACTGAGCTCAAATAACTCTTCAATCTATTCTTGTGCAAAATCCTAATGCTTAACATAAACGTATTACGATTCGATAACGTAATGAAAATAAAAGAATGAAATTGATTAACTTGCTCTTTTTAAACAAGCATTATTATAAGTCTATGAACGCTATGCTACTTTTATAAAGTATTAAAAAAAGAACTTTACAACTCCCCTGGTACCTTTTAACCGTCATATGCGTTATATCTCAAAAAGAAAGGGTTTACTTTGGTTTAACAAGATTTGATCATTGCATGTTCCAAGCATAAAATCAGATTCAATCTCAGCTTATTCCTAATTTCATGGCAGGTTTTCTCTTTCCTTTTTTTTCTTTTGCTCTACAAGAAATATAATAATATGTCAGGTGTGTGTGTGTATTATGTTGTTAATTAGCAAGTGTATTTACAAACAAAATATGAATAGATAACAAACTAGCCATTGCTCACCACCCATATGAAGCTCAAAGAGAAGACGAAATCTCTTTCGAAAAGGACGAAGTTATTAAGGTAACTGATGACTCTGACCCTGACTGGTGGGTTGGTGCCAAGAAGGACGGTACTTCTGGATACTTTCCAAGTAACGTAAGTTATACTTTTCTGAATAAAAAATAAAAATAAAATGACGTTGATATATTTAGTTTGTGAATGTAAAACAAGAGGAGCAGTCTACAGTTGAAGAACAAGAAGAAAAGGAAGAAGAGAACGAAAACAAGGCAGATGATGATGAAGAACAAGACCAAAAGAAAGGTAAACAAGTAATAAATGATTCTCTTTTTGTCCCTTATCATCTTGAGTAGTTGATCAAGTTATTGGTATGGCACGGGTTATGGAAGATTATGCAATGCAAGAACCAGGAGAAATTTCATTACATCGTGGAGGAATTGTGAATGTATATGAAATTATCGATGATCACTGGGCAAGAGGTGAACTGAATGGAAAAGTTGGAAAATATCCTATCAAAGTAAGTTAATTCAGAATGAAGATGCAGAAATGATGTTTGACCTTATGCATATAGTATGTTGAGGATATTGACATGCCTGGGCGACCCGATTTGGGTAAACAAGTCTTTGACAAGCCTCAATCGACGAGTAATGAAGAACAGAGTGGACGTGAGTACATCAAATTGTCAAAAAAAAAAGTTCATTAAACTCTCACAGCTAAAGGTGGCTTTAAGCTCGCGGCTTATGGTGTTAAGCAGGGAGGTATTGGGAGCTTACTTGCTGGTGGATTCCCTGGATTAAAGAAAGCACCTGCCAGGCAGGAAGAACCTGCTGCTACAGAAGAGCCAAAACCAGCACCTGTTGCTGCTGCTCCTCCAGTTCCTGCTGCTGCCCCCAAGGCAGAAGAAGAAGAAGAGGAGGAGGAGGAAGAGGAGGAGGAGGAAAAAGAGGAAAAACCAACTGTTGAAGAACCCAAACCACGTAAGTTTAAATTAGTTAGTAAAAAACTGTGAAGCTTATGTTTGTCATATTATAGTTGGAAAAGCTATTGTCTTGCATCCTTACAATGCTGATAACGAAGGTATAGTTTCATTGTCAATAAAAAAAAAAAAAGGGCAAAAGTAATCATCTGTATTTTTTATAGACGAGTTGAATCTATTAAGAGGCGAATACGTCGTGATTCTTGACCGAAACGTAGACGATGGTTGGTGGAAAGGAAAGAACGAGAGAGGACAGACTGGCGTCTTTCCTGCAAATTTCGTAAAGGAGTTGGATGAGGAGCCCGTTGCACCACCTACACCCGTCCGCAGCACGCGTCAGCCCCTTACAAACGCACCTTTGGCAAGACCACCTGTAGTCAGACCAGCGTCTGTGCAAGCTGGCGGCTCGACAAGACCTTTTTCTGTCCAGTCATCTGCTCCAAGACCGTCCACTGTGCAAGTTCTTTCTGATGCATCCATGGCTGTCCCTCCCAAATCTTTTGCTTCACCTGAAAGAGAAGCAAAAAAGGAAGTAAAAGAGGAAGTAAAAGAGGAGTCTGATGTCAAATCGCCTATTTCTCCAAACCAACCTTCTTTTGCTGACGAACCAGCTTCTCAGCCACCTGCTCCTGAACAAGAAGCGGCTCCTAGCACCTCACCTTCTATACCTAAGCGACAAGATTCTGTCGCAAGCGCGTCTTCTATTCATTCATCCAGTCCAGTTGCTCCAGTTGATGTTCCTGAAGCCCAAATCCCTCCCACTATCCCTACACGCCCAGAATCTATATCTGATAATATATCATCTCCTCCCTCTATTCCTAAGCGTCAGGAATCTGTATCAAGCACGCACGCCTCTACACCACATGCAGAACCACCTTCTGAGGAATCAGCTGCACCAGTGCCCAAGGAAAGCCCTGTAGCCGCTGAGGAAGTTATTCCAGTAACAAATGTTCAAACAGAAGAGATTTTGGTACCTGAAAGTAGAGAAGTCGTGGAAGACCAGGTTGAAAAGGCCAAAGAAGAAGTTCAAAAGGAAGACATTGCAGTTGAAACACCCAAAGTCGAATCTGAACTGCCTACCTCTGAAGAAAACGTAACAGAAAGCAAAGAAGAGGAAACTGCTGCAGAGTCAAAAGCAGAAAAAGAAGAAGTTTCTGTTACGGAAGAAGGAAAGGAAACCGGCGAACAAAGCGAAGGAAAGAAAGGTATTGAAATACTTCCTAGTGGACCCAAGTTGACAACACCCACTCGTGCCCGTATTGGTGTCCCTCGCCGATCACCTCAATTGAAGAATACAGAACCAAGTCAAACGGAAATTCTGCAGAAACAGATTGCTGAGGTAGGTGAAAATATAAAATAGACGCGCGTGCACAGTTATCAAAACAAACACCTTTATTTTAGACACCTGAAGAAGAAAAGCAGCCTGCTAAAGCGACTCCTTCTCCACCTGCCAAACCAGTGAAGCCTATATTTGCCAAATTCCCCACACCTTTTGCTGTTGGAGGGGGTGAAGAGATTTCAAAGAAGATGCTGAAGCCCACACAGGTTCGTAAGCCTTGGGAGCAGGAAGAAAAGCCATCAGAGACAGAGGAGCCTGAGGCTCCACGTCCTGTTGGCGTACGAAGCATTGCTTCAAGATTTAATGTCAGCAACAACAGTGGCAATGAAGTACTTGAAACCAAGTTAAAAAATCATACAAAGAATGAGGTAGAGAAAGTCAGAAAGGAATTCCAGCAGTTATTGCAAGAAGAACAAGAAAAGAGAGCTCAGTTGGAAGGCCTCGTTCATGAATTATTGGAAAGAATCAATCAATTGGAAAACAAACAATAAAATATAAAAAAGGGGTATTTATTTATATATTCGTTATTCCTCTTTTTGCTTTGTCTGTGAGATACCATTAGTTTTGCTTCCTTTCACCATGCCAGTATCCTGCATTGAAGTTGGGAACTGGTGGTAACTGACTGAATGGCTGTTGCTGTTGCTGTTGTTGATGATGATGATGATGATGATGTTGCATAGGCTTTTGTGGCTGTTGAGAGTAGCCCATGTAGCCATATGGACCCGCATTCATAGGAGGAATGCTACCAACAGTATTTGGGTTGGAGGTATTTGATGCTGAAACAGGAATAGCATTGGTAAGGGATGGCTTAGGTATCTCTGCAGTATTTGGTGAGTCATAGGATGGTGGTTGATAGGGTGTATAAGTAGGTTCGGTTCTCTTGGAGCCCTTATCTTTCAATTTTGCGGCTGTGTCCTCACCTGATGCTGATTGGCCATAAGAAGCGTGCTCTTCATCTTGACCTAGGTCAGGAGTATTCAAACAGGCCTGAATTAGATTCTTTCCTTCAGGTTTTGTTACAATAGGCTGAAGCTTGACAGTTGTGAAAGTATAGACAAGACCAGTTTCAGAGACAACGAGCAATAAGACCTGGGTACCCGTCAGTGTACTGAGCTCATAAGCCTAACATAATAATAAATAGTAGAAATGAGAATGAGAATGATGGATATACATTTAAAGAATATTCATATACCTTCTTCATAATACCAGCCTTACGCTTTGAAAAAGTAATATTCCTTCTATTTTTATCTCCAATATATTCAATCTTGATCTTTCTCCTTCCAGAACGCTTAACAGGCTTGACTTCATCTTCGTCGCTAGGCACGTATCCCTCTGTAGATTTGTTTTTAAAGATGGGATCTTGGGGATCAGTTATAGGTAGTTGAGAGTTCATTATTTGGCTATCTTTTGCTAAATAGGTAATTATGTGGGACAAGTAGAGGCTAAACTGTGTTTCCAAATGTAGTATGAAATCGACCTAAAAAAGAAAAAAAAGTGATTATTTGGGAAAAAGGAGTAGGGGACCTCTATAGATGACCTATTTCGGAGATTAAATATGTAATAATGAGGTAGGTCAGAGAATAGAAGGAATAGAAGATAGAGTCGCACACATGTATCAGCCCTATGCACTTGATGACTCATTTTGAATTAAGGCAAGCATATTTGAATGAACTCTATAATGAATCTGCGTGTCTTTAGTGTGAGTATGTGAGTATGTGAGTATGTGTGTGTGAGTGTGAGTGATAAATGATACAAAAATAAAAGAGATACGATTGGTTTAGATTAAATTACATCCTGGATTTCCCAACTCACAGTAAAGCAGTAAAAAAAACCTTTTACTAGTCTCTATTGAAATTATATTGTATCAGCTTAGTTTAATCCCAAATATGGTTTTGCTCGTAAAGCATTCCAAATTCTACATATATTTAATAACTTTTTAGGCAACACTAAACTAACTATTTGCTATTTTGTAGTGCAGTTAAGTATTCAAGCACAGATGCGTTCATTCAAATTATATTTAATCAATTTTTACACAAGACTGCTTATGAGCATTTTTAGTGCCTCGGCTGAAGATATGCGTAACACGAAAATATTGTCTGGTCAAAAAAGAAAGAAATTATTCACAGAATAGGTTAACCAGTCTGTTCTTGTCTTCTCCTTTTGCAGTCTTTTCAAAAAGTAAAGCCGCATTTTTGCAATTTTTATAATACACTTTATACGAAAAGCGACAAGTCAGCGCGACATCTCTTTCTGGAAATGGTGTATTGAATCATGATATTATCATAATCAATCTCAGGATGCTGCTTTCACTTAGAATCGCTGGCTCCAATATAAAGCATTTAATCGTTGATAGTACATTTATATATGTCACTTATGATGAGGCCTCCTGCTTAGACTTGATAAACAATAAAAAGCACTTTTTAATGAAAATGCTTAATTACAGTCATAGCTTTTAAGGGAGAATTGCATAAAATAATAAGTGTGGACTTATGTTGATCACTTGACTGGCGCAAGTTCGACATGTGAAATTGTTTTATTAAGTATATCATATCAATCGTGTAAAATGTTTATGAAAACACTATTTGACAATGTCTTTTCTTTACTTACTTCACAAATTCCCCTGTGTGGTCAGGGTTAGTGCAAAGACCAGCGTAGTTCTGAACTACAAACCAAGCTCATGGAATATTTGACGAAATTAATTTAGCTCAAAACAGCATATGATTCCTTATAGCGTGGAACTTCCTTCAACACATAAAGGTTACTTCCTCTTTTTCTTTCTCCATTGATCTGGCGTTACTTCGACAGTCCGAATATACTGTCTTTTCCCAACCAGTCGTTCAGCTGGTCAAGCGAGAATGGTAATTCAATATGCCTTTAGAAGAGCATGTGTTTTCCGTCTCTCCCATAAATACTTCGTCTGTAATGCTTGATATAGGTTTCCTTGAAAAGAGGGATTTAATAAGGTCTAGTATGGATCCCAACTGTCTTTACTATAAAATACAAGAGAATGCCATTTACCTGTTATTTCAAATAAGTCAACAGCAAACAGAGTAGAAAGAAAAAGAGATGAAGGATTTAAATGAGTTTTTATAGGGAGAGAGTCTTATGACTGTTATTTATATGCAATGTTGTCAATATTATTGTCATTTGATATACAATATGATGATTTATCTCATCAAACATGTCAGCTAGGGAGTGCCACCGAAGATGTTTAAGCCAATATTATAAACGTAATGCTATTTCCTGCTGATAGAAAAGGACATGTCTTTTGCAGAGTTTCAGTTCGATCTCTCTTATTATGATACAATGTACGTCATGGGATCTTAAATTCTAATCGAGTGATAATTACAGAAAGATGAAGCACTGTGTATTTAAATATATGGATGAGGCTTCTTTAAGAGATGTAGTTTGTACCATTTGTGTTGACGTACGATGTTTAAAGTTCAGCCTACCCACATCTACCCATACCTGTCCGCAACTGTCCATACCTGTCCAGAGCCTACCGGAGTCTATCCATAATGCAACCATCCACAGCCACCATTTCTTCTTGTATAGGATGAGTAAAGCACACCTTTAACTAATAAAGAGTCATAATGTCATCACATCAAGTACTGCTATGCTGACTGTAAAAAGGCTTGGTTAGAAAGGGTGTTTGCCGTATTATTGACTTAGATGCTGATGTACAATCATGCATAGATAGGCTGGCGTGCTTGTTGGAAATAAAGTTCAAAGCTTTCTATTGTTTTCTTTGTCTCTTTTTGTAAATCAATAAGACTATATCAACTAATGAACATAGCTCTTGGCAAGCAAATAAGGTACCTGCCCTAGTTGAAATATTATACGCCTACTTTTATCCATAAAAAAAACATCTACTATTCTAAACCATATAGATCGACTCTTTATATACATACTTGCCCTTTCTTAAATAACTCTTAAACATCAACAGTTCTTAAAGGTGAGTTTAAATATAGAAATGCCAAAGGTGTAAACAGACTATAGAACAACGAAGTTTATGATTGGTACATGAGAATATATTTAATCACCGATAAAAAAGGTGTACAGCGACAGTAAATGTGGTAATGTGAGTAGTCGTTCTAAATTTTTTTCTTTCTTTCTCTACTTTTTTATTTATGTTTGAACTTTGCAACCACTTTTAAAAGTAAAATAAGTACTTTTTTTTTCTTACAACTCCCTTTTAATCTGTTCTTTGTTATAGGCCTTTTCTTTCTTATAAACCAATATACCGTAAGTGACAACATATTAAAAGGAAAATAACATTAAAAAGCTATACTAGAATACATAAAAGAAAAAATATACATTATATCCCCTCCTCTCTGTACATAACCCTTTATTATTCTATACACTCATTATTTCATTAACCAAGTATACCAAAAAGTAACTTTTATACATATATGCAAACAAGTAAAGAAGATACAAAATTAAATAAAGAACAAGAAAATATAGATGACGACGAAGAAGAAGATATCGCATTCTTTAGGCAACATCATTCAAAAAAACTAAAGAGGATATCATGTTCTTCTTCACCTGAACCATTTGAGCAACAACAACAACGACAACAGAAAAAGGGGAGAAAGAAATCTATATCCAATCCCAACAAAACAGATAAAGCAGGTCGAACTAAGTTGTTTTATGCTACATCTCAAGGTCATTTGAATAGAGTAAAAGAATTGGTAGAAAATGGTGCAAATGTAAACTTTAGAGATAATGCTGGATGGACGCCTCTTCACGAAGCTGCACTTAAAGGACAGTATGAGGTTGGAAAGTACTTGATAGAATGTGGAGCTGATGTCAACGCAAGAGGATTTGGACAAGATACCCCACTTCATGACGCAAGTTCTAACGGTCGAGCCGATTGTGTCCAACTCTTAGTTAATCACGGAGCAGACGTATTTGCCTTGAATGAATCTAAACAAAGGCCGATTGACGTGTGCGAGGACAAAGAGTGCCAAAACATCCTAAGGGTCAAGATGAAGCAACTAGATCGTTTACTTGCTCGTGATAAAGATGGAAAATCGCTTTTACACTATGCTTGTATCAACAATAAGATCGAAAGGGCAAGGCATATGCTCGAACAAGGTGCAGACGTAAATGCAAAAGATAACCATGATTGGACTCCGCTTCATTTGGCCTGTTTACACGGTCATCTGGATATTGTCAAATTGCTGATTCAACAGGGCGCTGTTGTCAACATGCTTGGTTCAGAAGACATGGACACACCTCTTCATCAAGCTAGTAAACATGGGCACAAGGAAATCGTGCTTTATCTTATCAAATCTTCAAATGCTGATGTCAACATAAAAAACAAGTACAATCAGAATCCCTATGATGTATCTGTTTCCTTTCCTCTCATCAGACAAATCTTAACCGCTCGTATGGATGAAGTTCGTTTGGAAAAAGAAGCGTGTAACGCCCTGGACGAAATCGCGAGCCGAACAGCATCCAGAAACGAACCAGAACGTCAGCTTATGACCCGCGAACAGAGAAAGATTCAACACGTTATGCGTGTATTTGCTAATCTGGAAGGAGATGGCAAAAGAAGCTCTGGCGATGATCGATCCTGTACGAAAAGAAAGCGTAGAAGAAAATCAATCTCGGTTGAGAGTGAAGATACATCGGTCATTACAAGCACTGGCAATAATAGTGGACATAGGAAGAAACCTAGTACGAGCACCTCGCTTGATCCGTTCAAAAAGGATACAACCGGTCGAACCAATCTTCACAAATATGCTCTGCGTGGAAATAATGAAATGGTTCAAACCCTTTTGGACTTGGGCGCAGATCCCAACGAAAAGGATTACGCCGGGTGGACTCCTCTCCATGAAGCTGCACTACGAGGCCAAATTGATGTGATTAAGCTTTTGATCAAACATGGTGCGGATGTGAACGCGAGAGGAGGAGAAGAGCTGGATACACCTCTACACGATGCTACAGAGAACAACCATTGTGATGTTGTTGAATTGTTATTGGAAAACGGTGCCAACCCATTTGCTAAAAATGCAAGTAATTTAGAACCACTGGATATTGCAATCGAAAAGGATTTCGAGGATATAGTTGTCGCACTACAGGCTGTTTCACCTGTTTATAGAAAAAGAAAAAGTCAGAGAAAGCCTATTGTTAAAACTGAAGAAGAAGATGATGATGATGAGAAACATAGCGAAGTCAAGTATGTGAATCAGAGAAGACACACCATAGATAACGCAGACGGATCGGACGAGCCAGCTATCAAGCGGCCCAAAAAAAGAAGAAGACTGATACAAGCAGCAGACCTTGAGAAGAGTAGTCAATGTTCGCATCCCAAAGAAAAAGTCCGTGTCAAGATAGAAGAAGAAGAAGGAGAAAGTGATAAATGGTCGTGCATTTCAAACAAGAAACGTTATACAAATGATACCAAGCGTACCGACTCACGCTCACCTATCCCCACACCTCCACCTGAACCATGGCTCAAGCAGCGAGAGGACTCTCAGCGTTACTCGCTACTTTATTCTATTCAGCTATCTAGAAATGATTTTTATGTTATTGATCTTCAAATGTGTCTATTTCTAGGTATCGGCACAACCAAGAAATTCTGGAATACGTATCCTGAACTTCCCAAGCTATCCGTTACTTTGGAACAAAAGCGTAAACTGTGGCAGTCATTCAAGCCTTTGCTTACTGGGGAAGATTTAGACACATTTCTGGCGAGAGAACTTTATTTTATCGATTTTGACGATGCGATGAACATTATCAAAAGCGATCAAAACTGTGCGGCTCAGAATGTAGTCACTGTGACTCTAGATATGAATCCTGCACAGCATAAAAGACTTCCTCCCAAGGTGTTGTGGAAAACAAAATATGGCTATTCTTAGATTTTTATACCCTTTTCTCTTTTAAAAATGCAGCATGACAGATGTAAATATTCTTGCATTATTAGCTTTGTATATTTTGTATTCAGTAAAAAAATAAAATGCTGAAGACTGAACAACTTTACATCTTGTAAACACGGTCTTGAATGTAACCAAGACTATAAAAGTGTAAGCACAATGTGATAAGATGACATGAGACTTACCTTTTCAAGAAACCTCTCAAGGTGCCTTGGCTTTTATCAGGGTTCTTGTCACCACTGATGGCTTCCATCAGAGGAGGAGGACCACAGACAAAGATGATTGAATCTTCTACATCAGGACGGTGGAAAGACTGTTGGATCAAGTCTTGAGTGATAAAACCCTTTGGGCCTAACCAGTTTTCAGGAGCACGCTCGAGGACATGAATCACCTTGAAGCGGTCAGGATAGTCCCTCTGATAACCTTCTAACTCATCTCTAAACAATATATCGCGTTCTTCTTGATTACCAAAGAGCAATGTGACCTTGGTGTTCTTATAAGGCGATTCAGTGCTAAATATTTTGCGTAACAATTGCAGCTAAAGAAATTCAAGATGATTAAAGAATAGGTTGAGATTATACCATTTTGTATGACATTACCATAGGTGTGATGCCAGTACCACCTTGTCGAAATAATAAGTTATTCAATCATCAAGTTCGTATAATAATTACCTGCAACCATGCCAACGTACTCCACTGGCTTATTTTCCCATCTATATTTTTCAAAGGGTCCCTTGATGTCGATGGTATCGCCTACTTTGAGCGAGTGAACGTGACGGCTCATGTTACCTTGAGGATAGTCCTTGATAACAAAGTCAACGTGTCCTGCAGCAGCTTCTACTGAGGTAGGTGTGTATGGACGAACAACTTCTTCGTTCTTGCCATCTTTTGTGATATAGCTTCTAAAAAGCACACAGGAGGCAACAGGTAACCCTGCAACGTCGGTTGAATTGGGAAGTTTAAAGCGGAAGAGTGAGACATTATGGTTAATGCGCATAATCTTTTCTAGTGTAAAAGGACGAAACTCTGATGGAGAAAAAGCCATGGTCTTGAATACTTGTCTGAGAATCTTGGAGATAGTAATAAAGAGAAAGAAAAGAGGTACATTAAAGGTGGGAAAAGTCTACACTTTGAACTGTAAATGCTGTCCAATAATGTCTCGATCAGATAAACAGCATCTAATCTCCGTCAACAAAAATCTAAAAGTGTCTCTTGTTAAGTATGATGACGCCTAAAGCGTCGTCACCAAGCGTATAAATACCTTATTCTGCAAGCATTACGATGATAAAGCCAATGTACAACTATAGCTCAAATTGTTAGAGAGAAGAAAAAGTTAATAAAAACTTGTTTCGTACGACATTTTGATGAAGAATGGCGTACTGACTTGGCTCAAAAAGACTTGCATTTCTTTCAGCAAGTTCAATGGCTTTATTGTAATTAAAAGTGCTATGACCAATAAATGCACTCCTAGTTGCTTTATCATCAACTTGCTTCATATGTTTGGCTGTAGTAACTATATAATCAAATTAGAAGGAGAGGATCAAGACGTTCCGGAGCTAGTTCAGTGTGTCATTATACAAGTGGAAGCATGATGCTCTATAACGCCATACAGGGCTCAAGAATTCAAGCTATGAGCCACTCCTTTTGATGGAGGATAATCAACTGTTTCAATATCTTAAACAGTAGCATTTGTTCTCATGGCCATCCCATTAACAAAAAAGGCTTAATGTGTTTAGTGATACTAGCTCACAAGTAATAAGCATGAATAAAGATATCATGGTGCACACAATACATTTGTAGCTACGACATTATACGGCTTGCATTGCCGTTTTTACAATAATAACACATCAAACTACCATATTGTATACATAATCAATGTACTGCTGATAACAGCAGCATAAATATTCTAATCGTTAGTCGTCGACTTTTTTTTATTTTAGTTAACAATTACACTAAACCAATAAATCCAACAAGGTCATACTATTAGAAGAGTCGAGAGATCATATATTAAGGTTGCCAAAGATTTTATTTATCCTGGAGCAAACACTGTATTTGTGACATTTGACCGCTTCAGATAGCATTTTATAGTAGATATAAATCATTGAGTGATACTGATGATACTACAAGTGATCTTTGTCTCAAGAAAGAAAAAGTAGCTATTTGTAGCTTCTGGTCAGTATGAAGGCAAAGCCAAAATATGTTGATGTAGACTATGGTTGCAGAATGATAAGAGGAGGAGAAAAGAATTTACAATTATTAAAGTTCGGGAAATTAAAAATGATGTCGTTAAAGCAAACATTCAGTGTTGAATAGGTATATTCTATTGTAAGAAGCAATGCTAGTATTGGCATGTCTTTTTACGATTTCTACCATTCTAAAATAAAACGAACAGTCAAAATTCTTTGAATTTTTAAAGAACTGTCATTGCTTTTCATATAAATATGAAAAGAACCATGGATTGGTCAAAGGAAAAAGAGCCGCGGGTTGAAGTTACTCAACTTGTAACAGCAGGAAAAAAAAAGACCTCATGTGCGCCTTCAAAGAAGAGAAATGCTAAAAAGACTAAAACAAAAAGAATACTAGGGGTAGTTATGTTACTTTAGCTTTATTGCAAGCACTCTAAACACTTTTGACTAAGCATGAAGGGTTAAAGCCATTATGCTGCAATGAATAATGCTCCCATTCATACACCAAAGAATGTCTAAAAATGTGCTAATGCTGTAGCTGTGTATGCCCATTTTGTCCCAACTTAGTCCAACCAAATAGACTTGACCTGTTTCTAGGATCTAATTCAAGAAATAGAAGATCTTCTGGAAAGTAGTATCATTTTTTTAACTTTTATCACCATTCTGCTACCAAGATTGATTTATGTTTTTTAATACAACTCTAAATTTAGCACAGGCTGCGCCAAAAAAGCTCTGCCAATAGACTGCATTTGTAGTTTCGGGAAATAATACGTTCCCAAAATAGGGGTAGTTTTATCCCTTATTTAGTGTTACCACCATCCGTATGCATGACTTGCAGCTTTGTGAAACAATGACTGTGTCACAGGATCGACTAAGTTAGAGTTGCTTTAGAGTGGATTTAAACTTTTTTCTGGCCAATCAAAAATTTCCAGTGCACTCAAGCTTTCCTGTGCACAACCACTGCAAACACCAGAAAATAAGCCAGAAAATGAGCCAATGCTACGGGGTGCTTCTTCTTGGCACTACATGTAAGACATTTCAATAGAATATCCTTTGATGTAAAATATGCGTTTATCATAATTACGCGTGATTGAGCTTGATTCTTTGTTGATAACATCTGACAACATATGTAACAGCATTTCTTTTTATCTCTCTTTCTTCCTGAAGAGAAACAAGCCAAGTCGGCGACTTTATAAATTTATGTTTAGCTTGAACGCTACGCATTCAAAAGTTTTGTTGGACTTCATCATAGGTAGTGGGTAGAGGTAGCGTCCGTAGGATTAGTCTAATTTCTGGTGCATGTAGTGTTTTCCCGAATTTAAACGGCCACACAACTGAAGAAAGATTTATAGAGTTGGCCAAATACTAGTAGGTTTTGTGTTAATTAAAGATTTATTGATATAACATACATATCTTTTAGTGGTAAAGACAGTATACTTGATTTAACACAAGAAAGGCTAATCTCCCTATGTTTTTACAACACGATGGAAAACATTAAAAGTGAGTTTGGATTAGCAATGGAGTATGCTGTAACCGAAGAAGAACATACTATTTTTTTTTTAAAAAAAAAAAAAACACCAATATAAAGAATCAAGATGAGCTAGATTTGCTTTTAAGGGAGCTATTCAATATTCGCAATGCAAATGACAATATAAAATACATTCACTCAGCATTAAACCATTTGTAAAAATTTTAAAAATAACAGTTAATATAAAGGGCTTATCTATTTAATAATAGAGTTAGGTTATGGTCTTCACGTGTACCATTACAGCAATCATTTAGAATGTTGGTATCGAATTAATATTTATTTCGAACTCTTTGACAACTAATTTGCTTTTGATGAAGGTTTCTAAAACAAAAGGTGGTTGACACCTAACATTATAGTAATGTTTGAAAATAATATTTTCATTGTTTATTTGAAATCAAATATAGGTCAGAGTGTATTACCAACATGTCTAAATGTACGAAAGTCAAAACTGGAAAAGTAAATATGTTGTTTGTATCTAATGGAGCAATGAAAAATGATGGGTTTTTATGCGAGAACAAAAAAGAAAGTGCTGTTATGTAATGATTTAAACAACACAAGACAAAGACAAAAGTAGTACTCATAATTAACCTTTATTCTGAGATAAAGACAGAAGAAACATACAGTTGAATAAAGGATCTGCTATTTATAGCTGCTGGTAAACCACTATTCTAAGCATGGATTATAATTATTAAGGATATAACTGACTAACGGTTCCTGAGTTCGTAAAGAAAACTCTTAATTCGCCCCTGACACTGATCATATTATTTATTTCATGATCTGGATTATAATACTGCTTTTACCATAAGAAGGATTATCTTTTAAATAAGTAATGACTTACGTTCAAAGGAGAGATTCTATTTAAATTGACTTGCCACCAAAAGTGTGTACACGTAATCTTATAATGTATGAATTCACTCTATTCATACTGATTACAGTTGTTTATCTCAATGTCAGTCATAAGCTGACATTGTTCTATGACATGCATCACCGCCTATAAATAAAGAAGACTGCAACTAATCCCCTATCCTTCCTTTTAAATAAGCTTCCCACCCATAAACCGTGATCCTATCAAACCAAAGCATTTTGGGCTACCAGATTATCACCTATATCAGCCAAAGCATTTTTATCTTCGAGCCCAGAGGGAGTTTTAGATACTTTTTTACACCTCGAGCTGGCCTGGGCAAAAACGATCCACTAAAAGCATCACGTGCCCCTACGGTCTTTGTATCTTATAATTTAATAAAATACCTTTAAACGTAGTACACGGGGGTATCGCCAGAAATGGTAAATGGCTGTTCTAGAAACGACATGCTCGTGTTTTCATTATCTCAGCAAATATTTTAGTATATTACGACAAATGAGCATTCTGTAGCTTATTCCATAAGATCGTAATAAAAATGACGAATATCTTGGCCTAAGGTGAAAACCAGTCTATTGCTGCGCTAAAGAGTTGATGAGTAAGCACTCAATTATTACCAGAAATGGTGGCGTAAGGTGCTTCCATGAGTCATTTAAAGTGGCTGTTGAGCGATTTATTCGTTATTAGCAGAGTTTTCTCTTTTCATATACTTTTTAACTGCCTTTAGAGTTATCCATAAAAGCCGATCGGAAGATGCTAGTATAAATAACCGTATTAATAAGAACCGACCCCAAAATAATGTTGGTAAAAAAGAACAAAAGCACTAGAGGAAGTACAGGAAAATGATACTATACGAAGCCAATACATCCGAAGGTTTAGTAGAGTAAATAATAGCAACTTTTTTCTTTGTTTCTGATTCAAGATGCTTTGAAAGAAGAGAATAACTACAAGTGATGTAGTCGACCAGAGTTGATCGAATGTTTACAGCAGCAATGACATCTTTGTGCCACACCTATTGCCACAGTTATTGGCCTGGTATTTGCTTTACTTTACAGCTTATTTGTAAAGCCACTCCTAGTGTTCACTGAAGGCCTTGGTGTATAGTTTTAATGAATATTAACGACGTTTTATCTTGGAGTTAATATGCGAATAATAAATGTCAAGATAATCAACTTGAAATTAAAAAATGGTAAATATGCTTGCGCCATATCGCTCATACGTTGAGAACCTACAGCTGTGAAAATGGCTCCCAAGCTGAATGATGTAATCAGAAGAAATATTTCAGTACATCAAATTAAGATTCATATATTTCTTAAATTACAAGTGTGTGAGTATAATGAAGTTGTAATCTGCTTTTATAATCATACAAGTATTCATAAGTGATATAAAAAAACTATGGACGGATGTTGCTTGATCTGGGTTACAAGTCTAGCATTGGCTATTTTTGGTCTCGTCAAAAGCGATAAGGCGTTGGCTTGCAATCACGATGAGGTCATCATTGTCGGTCTTTTCCCTCTTTTTTCTTTGGTAAGGGTCTTGTTTCCTTTGGATAAAAAAATAGTCCTGTATTGGTCATAGATTACCAATTTGGTTTTTAAATAGGGGAAAGCAATAAAACCTTCCTAGTTCGAAAGAGGGCGCATCGGATATACAAATATACGAAGTGTAACCCGAATTTCTGGATAAAAGGAAATAAGTATAAAAAAAGGGGATCGCCTTACTATGGTAACGGCTACCGTGTGTAACCAGATAAGAGCTAATTTTTAGAATCGTATCATTTTAAGAATAAAATTTTTTACAATGCATCCTGGTTACACGATATGTGGTGACACCTATTGTGTGAATTCATGACTAAACTGAAGCTAGCATTGGGTGAAACTTCTTTATTACTGTTAATCTGGATAATCTAACAGCAGTTTCCCCTCTCAAATCTAAACTTTAATTTTTTTCTCGGATTGATTTATAAATAAAAATGTGTACCATTTTCTCACAAATTAACACAATTTTAACATTTAAGAAATTTAATTTTATAAAAAAGGCACAGGATCGGCTGTCCAAGTTACTTGATTGGTTAAGTCATCTTCACTCGGGGTTTTACTTCTATACTCTTACCACACGCTTTCTGCGCACACATACACACACACCTTCTCTTCACTAAAAAAAAAAGTAATTTTTGAAACATTCTGATTCACTCTTTTTTTCGCTTTATTAATTATTTTTATTATTTTTGTATTTCTTTATTGTTTTTGCTATTTTCATGCTTAGAGCACATTGAGAAAAAGAGAGAGCAGCAGCAGCAGAAGCAGCAGTAACTATGGACTCAACAACAAGTGACTATTCGCAACCTACAACGTAAACATAGTGTATTGTCTACGCGTGTACTTGCTAACAGTAACTCTAGTTATTCTTTAATAGTACGTCAACAGCCAAGCAAAGCGAGGCTTTGTAGTTTCAAAGAAAAAGGTATGCCCCCTTTTTTAATATACAAAAGCATCCTCTTTGATTCATCTTTTAAAAAACAGTCGATCGAAGACCAATTGATCCCCCACCGATCATTGAATTATTAAGCAATACAACAGAGTAAAGAAGCGATGATATTTTGATAATATGCATCACTAAAATTCTCTTAAAGTGACCATTTCTTACAGAACCCTTATTTCTTTTTATACGCCACATTAACCGATGCCAGTGGAAAAAATGATTTACATTTCGTCAATGGCAACAAAACCACGGCTGGAGCTGTAGTACAATCATTGTACAAACTAAAGGATCTGGATAACTCAGGTATATACAAAATCAATCATCTGAAACATATTACTCACATATTCATAAGATGGCGGGTTTTTTATATTTTCGGATATCAGCGTACGTCTTGAAGGATTATACAGATTAAAGTTTACTCTTTTCAGCATTGAAGGGTAATGATTCTTATCACCACTGATCTCATTTTAACAGTGTAAATGTAGGCCATCCGTGAATAGATTATGTTCTACTCTATCTGATGTCTTTCAAGTCTATTCTCCAAAGAGTAAAACTAAAATATAATAATTTTCTATGTTACTTACTTTATATGTTTTAGGTTTCCCTGGAATGTCAGGTATGAAACCTGCATATTTTTTTTTTTAAATAGAGCTTCAGTGTCTTACATCTGTTAATAGAATCAACTTTTTTAACCCGATGCTTCTCTGATCAAGGCGTTCGAATAAGAATAAGAAAAGAACCAAGGAGTGCTCACCTTGGTAACAGGTAATATATTTATTTGTTTATTGACATAGACAAAAATTCATTTTTTATAAAAAAAAAAAAAGCAGCAAAAGGCGTAGAAGAAATACTAATGAATCGGATGATGACGACAATACGTCTTTAAACGATACATACATAGAACGGTATCAAAAGAATCCTCCAGCACATTCTTCAGCCTCTACTCCTTATTTTGATAAAGCTTCTTCCCCAATAGACTTTATTGAGCCAAACTCAAATAATCGTCATGATTACATCGTCAAGCCGACACTACCTTCACCCAAAGAACTGTTCAAGTCCTCAGCGATGTCGATGCAAAACATTTTGTCAAACGATCGTGATCAATTATACCATATTGTAGACACCGATAATGCAAAAGAAAATAGACTCTTGTGCACAAGAAAATTGCCTCTTCCTTTACCTTCACACGCTCCTCAACCGTCAATACAGCAAGAAAAAATTCATTTATGTCATCCACTTCAGCAGCAACAAACGATATTATTAAATACCAATGTATCATCTTCAAGAGATCAGTCATCGCCATATACAAAAGGATAAAAGATTAATACTATTATTATTCCCTCTATATACATAGCTTTGTTTGTAAATATACACATAAAAAGTTCACTGTTTATTTTGTAGCCATGATGACCATATTTCTAGGTGAAGTCATTGGATCAAAGAGTGGCCACAGGCACACCTTTTTAGTAGGGCTATCTGGAATAGCATCATTTAAATAAAGCCATCGATCGACGAGTATAATACTTTCTAACACGGGGGCGAGTATCGCACGCAATGACCAAACAAAGGCAATTTGTCTATCTATCTGTCTGGCTTTATAATCACTGTAGTATTCCTCAGCCACTTTATCACTAATGGTATCCGGAGGTAGATTAAGTCTTGATGCCGCCGCCTTGACGTACACTGGGAACGATGTAAAGTCCTTTTTCTTATTAAGTCTGCCGATCACTGGAGCGGCGCCAGCAACGGCCAGCCCCTTTTCGACCATGATTTGTTGCAGGAGAGCCCTAAAAAAGTGATGTTCCAGGGCGATCAAAGTGTCATCTACTTTTTCAACCCATCGCTCGGGTACCTGACTCGAGAGCATCCGTGCGGTGTGACCAATAAAAAGATGTGTCTTTTTGATCGTTTCACTCAGCGGGAAGCCGCAATGAGGTTTTTGTTCGCTCAAAAAGTGATAGCAACAGCCGACATTGACCAAACAGGTCATCTCTGGACTAGCTGTGAAGAGTTGAAGGATCATGCTGGCCAAGTCACCACATGTGTGTAGACCACAGAGCAGCCATTTTTCACTTTGCACTTGACTCCATCTGGATAAAATAGTCGATGCATTGTCTGGTGTAATGAATTCATTCACGTGGTGCAGTTGAAGAACATCGCTTTTTTTCAGGTGCTTGATGATTCTTTCGTCAAATCGTTTAGCCCCACATGTTTGGACTTCAGATGAATCGACAGCGAGTACTTTTAGGTTCGAACGATAGGCAAGTGATCGAGATAGATAACCTTGGCCTGCACCTAGATCCATAATCGATTCGATCTGATGATCCTTTGCTAATTGTTTGATCACTGGTGTCATTCGTTCTACTTCGTGTATCTTTTTTTCTACCATACCCGGTAGAATCCGTTTATCGAGCGGACTAATCATCTGTCTAGCTACCAAATAAGTTTATAAGGTGTGCATTATGTTTTCTTCGAATTAATTACATGAATCTGGGTTGACTCTAGGTAGCTCAATATCCTTAGTCGCTTTGATAAAGTCCTTTAAGGATGCAGGCCAGCTTTCCTAAAGCAGGTTGGTATACTTCAATTGCTTATGGTTTTAATATTACTTTATATTTTCCAGTTGCTATATTAGTAATAGCATCGAACCAGTCTGGCTCATCTAAAAGAGCATGTTGCCAATCTTTGCTTAAGAGATTCCAATGATCAAGAGTGATGAAATCAACAAAATGAATTTCAATCAAGTACCTATACTTTTCTACATAGTTTACTAAAGCTTCTGCGTATTCTTTAGGACACTTGTATCCTTTTGGGAGTGTTATTGGCTCATTCGGAAATAGTACATTCTGCTCCATTATGTGATAAAAAGCAAAAAAAAATTTTTTAAGGGCAGTGGAACACAAAAATAAGGTACAGCCGCATAAATGCAGCAAATCTATGGAGGGATACTCTATTGCCATGGGAACAAAACAAAACATTGACGTTTCCCCCTCTCAAGGCAGGGTCCACTGTGAAACATAATGACGTTGATTTGCAGTGCATATCTTTTAAACATTTTTGGTACAGTCCCTATTTGTCAAAATGCCAAAGAAAAGTGGGGAAAGGGCGACAACGCAGGCTTTTGAACGCCCGACATTTACCATTCTTTCTCTTCTCCATGAAACTTTTCTTATTCTTATTGCTCATAGTAAAGATTAGTTGTCTGACTCATTTATATGAAAAATCAAGTACATTAGTGGACTACTGTGACAGCCTCTCAAGCGACGTGCTGGCGTAAGCTCCCATTCTGAACGTAATATTTTTTTAACATCCCCTTTCTCTTTCTTTATTTGTCTTTTTACTATAGTATCGAATATTTTCGAATAAGTCCCGATCCTCTGGTGAGAGGAGAAAGGCTTATTGTTGATTTTAAAGGCAATTTATCAGAGCAAGTCATGAATGGCGCTGCCATTGATGTCAAGGTCAAATATGGCATCCTACAGGTACTTAAGCAAACATTTAACTTTTGTGAATGGGCTGAAGTGGTCAATGAGCACTGTCCCTTTCCTGAAGGGCAACTTGAAATTCATAAGCAACTTGATATACCTAAAGAAATACGTAAGCTGATACTATTACCCTTCTTTTCTCCTTTTTATCTAATTCTGCCATTTATTATATATAATATATACTATGTAGCTTCTGTAAGTTAAACCACCATAAAAGTTGCTTTTTACTAAATTTTAAATGGATAGGGAATGTACTCTTTGCGGGCTGAGGTCAAGTTGGCGGAAAATAAGAGAGTGACTTGTCTTATTGGATCAACCCATTTATCATAACTGAAATAAAAATATAAAAAAAGAACTGCTTGCATAATTAAATACAAATGGATTCTCTGGTTCATAAAGCCTCTGAAGAGTTGGGTGAGAGGCTATCAGTAGATTCGGTTACTAAATCAGCCGTAATGAGTTGTTGTCCATTGTGTTATACATACTGATTAGTGTGCTTATTATTATAGATGGACAGTTTTACATTTCAAATCAATGACTCTTTGAAACGTGTGAAAGAAACAGAAGAACTAACTTCCAAAGTACTAAACTAGTTCTTGTATCATGACCTTTTGCTTACTACTTATTTCAGGTTCAAAAAGAGACCGAATCTATTCATGACATGTTGAATATTTTAAAAAATAAGAATGAGGAAATGTTGACTGCATTCAAACAGATTGATCAACTAGAAGTAATTCAGTAATAAAGAACATGATATTCTTTATTTACACCTATGTAGATTATCGTCAACCGAGTCAAGGATACATATAATGCAGTAGCAAAAAATATGGACCAGATAGAAAGAACCATATCAGCAAGCACATCCACTTTTGGACTAGTATGATTCCCCCTAATATAAAAGCTCATTAGCTAATGATTTATATTTATTAGGGAAAGAAAAGGTCAACAACTGTACAGCCATACTTTCCTCCACCGGATCATGTAGACATATATAATACAGACGAACTATTTAACCCTCTTTCTTCTTCAAAATAAACATGATGCATATGTTTAGATACACGGCTTTTCTCTCTTCATGCATAGGCCGTTTCTTCTTGTTTACTACATAGTCTAGATATTGCTTACACTTTATTCACAAATTATTCACACACTGATAAAGAAAATGATAATTTCAGACAATAAATCTTAGAGCTAGCTGGGGAATAGCTGGTCTTACTTTTTTGAAAAGAAAAGATTAATAGCCAACTAAAGTGTAATTGCTATTGGTTTTATATTGAGTGCGAATAATTTAAAAAAAGTGTATAGCTTCTAATGCCTCGGGCGGAAAAGATGTAATATTACAATCGTGCACCCATTAGAGGTTTTCAATTATATATAAATGAAAATCTGTTTAAACGTATAGCTTCTATCTTGCAGTAAATGTCACTTATTTTGCTCGTTTGCATATTTTAACAATCATTTTACTGGAAGCAATTTCTTGTAAAAAAGACTATTTCGAAAAGAAAAACGAGTTACCTGATTTGGATCGAAAAAGGGACCTTGAAGATTGGTCGAGTTTCGCTTTTTCATTGGCTGAAATTTTTGTCACTTCAAACTTGAACTTTGTCACTATTAAATACCAAAAGTAGGTCTCCCTCATTTTAACGAAGAAAAAAAAAATGATGATGCGATCGCTACTACTACAACATAGCTCATGTATTAGACAAGCTTATACATATTCAACTATTCCAAAAAAGGCAGCTGGTAGATTTACAAGTAACAAACTGATTGCAGAATCAACCAAGACCAGCTATAATGAAGTACAGAGGACTCTGGTGTACATTGGTAAGATGCAAAACTAAGTAATAAAAGAGAGAGAACTTTATTAAGCAAGCATGTAGGACCATTTGCGGATTCCATGAAAAAATACAAAATGACAGCTTCATTTTTCGGTATTTGTGGTATTATTGCCGTACCTAGTTTAATAAGTACAGGGCAGGCACCTGTCTTGAGTGTAGCACTTGGTAAAGATATATGTACACATATATATTGTTATTGAATGCTAATATAAGACATATCAATATAGCTGGCATGTCAGCTATTACGCCTGCCTTATTTGTACACTTTTATACAAAAGGATATGTGACCAAATTGATTGTTTATGATGACATAAAGAACGTTGAAAAGGAAAGAAAAAAACCAAAGGAAATGAAAGACAAGTATATTGGATTAGAGACTGTATCATTCTGGGGTCGATTCAAAGAAGAAAACATGTGGCTGTCTCAGCTTAGATACAAGTCAACAACAAAGGGCCTTATTTGGCAACAAAAAACAGGGCCTAAACATACATTTACTCTCGAAAGGGAAATTGTGGAAGCTGATCCATATTTAAGAGCATTAGCCAAGCGTGTGGAAAAAAGAGAGATATAATAGACAAATAAAATAGACTTGTAACCAATGCTTGTGTCGCTTTTTGCAGAGAAATCAACAGGATCTTGTTTGGGTCACTTTGGACACCCCATTTCAATTGTCAATTGAAACCAGGTTGGATCATGTTAATATTAAATCACCGCTGTTAACATTATTGTTTCACACACAAAACATTTTTATTTTTCTCTTTCTCTTTGTGAGTGAAATGGCAGAAGAGCTCCAAGCACCAGAACGATTTGGACTATGCAACGATGAAAAATGCTCGAGTTTCTTTAAGTATTTAGACGTCTCAGTTCACACTTTTGTTGATGGACCTGATCCAAGAGATCACCTTGCCAACGAAAGGAATTTACTTACCTGGATACGAACTGGGACTACTTTGTCGTTGATAGGTATGATGTTTGATTTGAGAATAACTATGGTGTTTTAACTTTTTTTTTTATAACTTGATTAGGCTTTATTACATTAGTTGATTTGCCTACTAAAAAGTTTGCTCCTTCTTATTCATTTCCTTGGACAGAGGAACCAGCTTCGACGAGTGCAAAGATCATATCCTATGCCTTTATTGCTCTAGGATTCACATGCTTAATTGTCTCTTTATTTAATTACTTTCGAAACCAGAGACAGATAATAAGGAGGTTGTTCTGGGTTGGACATGGTTGTATTGGATATTCAATTACAATTATTATTATCGTCTTTGTTATGTTTATCATGGTTATGTCTCTAATGGAAACTCATTAATCAAAGATGCAGCACTATATCTTTTTCACTTGGGGAAGGACAGTTCTTACATTATTCCCTTTCTCTCTTATTATCTCTTGTTTAGCAAATTGACTAAATAGAACACAAGGAACGAGTGCGCGTGTGTGTATGTGAAATAAAAGACGTCTTCTTCTCTTGTTGCTGTGCGTATGTCCTGTAGGACTGACGGCAAGAGCGCTTTTTAAATAGAACAGAAAACATAGGCAGCAATGCTCTATTATTATGTTGCCTGCGTAAAAATCTGCGCTCTTATTTGCTGATTTCTCTCTCTCTGTACGTGTGTATAACGGGTACTTGTATGATCATGTGAGGAATGAACTAGAATTATGAATGAATCATTCTCTCTAAGAGTGATATATATGTAGTAATTGTTCTGCTGTTTAGATAAGTGAGCAATAGTTGCAATATCTCTTCTTTTATAGTCCTCAACAAAAGGCTACTGTTTTATTAAAAATAAATTTCAGAGAGAGGATAAAATTATGACGTGTATGAAAAAAATATTGGCGCATATTAAAAAAAGTATTTACGCAAAGGTTAAAAATAAAATGCGTGCAAAAGGAGACGACATACAAATGAGAGTAATAAGTACCAAGGAGGGAATATAAAGAATTATACAGTTAGCTATGTAAGAAAATTATTATATATAATAACTTACCCCGAAGGCATCTAGATGTGTCCTAGCGATAGCTAGGACGGATAATCATTGTCTAAGCGTATTCTAGTTCTTGGTTGCTCCTGATCGTCCACTCTTCTTCGACGCCTTGTAGGAGCAACAGCAACCCGGCGAAACCTATGAGGAACCATGCCATTAAGTCGAAGTCCACGAAGGATGTGCAGATAGTTGGTACAAACAGCAACATCCCTATTCCATAAGCGATATCTATCTGGTGCTGCCATGGCGGGTCTACAGTATAGATTGGTGCATCTACAAGCAATGTTTAATCAGTATAAAGTCATACAAGTGGTTCATGTACTATTACCTTAAAAGGCCATGGCAGACAATAGTAGGATATCGCTCACGTTGATACGGTCGTGGATTTGGAACACTACGGAACGTGTGGAGGCTCTCGTTGTGGCATGTTGGACAGCACCTACTGGTCTTGTACTCGTCTATAAGATAGACTTGTAACCCATGTTTCTTGAGGAGTCTTCGGAAACCAAGGCCATGGATGGGCTCATGATACCTAGCATGGGGAGCGGACCAGTTTCCCATCACAAACACGGCGTCTTCTCCAAACTTGGTGCGTAAGTCTTGAATAAGCTTTCGATCGGTACGTTGTCTGTTGAAGTACGCTGAAAGACGGATCTTGTGAAAGAGGGAGTATCCATTATCATGGTTTGTGATGGTATATCCATAGAATCGACTGAGAACGGCAGACTGTTCAGATCTGGCTTGAAGGAAGCGGCCAAAGTCTTCTACGGATACGGTGCTGCTTGGCTGTTGAGAAAGGGCTTGCTCAGCTTGAACGACATCAGGATCCTGGGCTTTGAGATCTTGCAAGATTCGGCGGTACTTTTTGGTTTTCCACGTCTTGTCTTGCTGTTGTTTAGTGTACCGAAATTTCACTGGCTGCTCTGGTGTAGAGTTTTCGTGTACAAAATACAACATATCTCTTCTTCCTGGGTCCACAGCGACGCATCGACCAGAAATCTCTTGATGATTTCGACGAGTTAGATTGGTGATGTAGGAGGTAGCTTCATACTCCACTGTGAACCTTGCCGTGTATCTTGTTTGCCTGTCGAACCTCTTCTTGAGA